ATTATCTAGCATACACCTGTCAAATATATAAAAAGAGTTAATTTATTATCTAGCATACACCTGTCAAATATATAAAAAGAGTTAATTTATTATCTAGCATACACCTGTCAAATAAATAAAAAGAGTTAATTTATAATCTAGCATACACCTGTCAAATATATAAAAAGAGTTAATTTATTATCTAGCATACACCTGTCAAATAAATAAAAAGAGTTAATTTATTATCTAGCATAACCAGAAAGTGTTAAGATTGAATGTAGATGGCTACAAAGGAAGAGGAAGACCGAAGAAAGTATGCATGGATCGTGTGAAAGAGGATATGCTTAAGAAAGGAGAGGATTCAGATATGCAGTCTGATAGAGACGTAGCACATACTGTGCCGACCCTCCGTAAGCGATAAGGGCAAGTGAATAATGAATTTATTATCCAGCATACACCTGTTAAATAATTAAAAAAATAATTTATTGTCTTTGTTATATAAATAAAGCGTAAACACACACTACTGTACGCCGTAGGATGTTAGCAATGACAGCATACTCTTGAATAATTATTTCTTTAATAAAAAACCCTACACGTATGACAAGCTTTAAGCTTATTTTCATGCTATTAAACTTAGGGGGTAAATAAATTGGAAAATACTCCTAAATACTGATAGCCTTACAAATAAACGCGGTAGTATAATCAAAATTTGTACTAATATTTTGCTTATACTCGGTTTATCCCTAAGTTTAATTTTATACCGCGTTTATTTGTAAGGCTGTTTATGTGTAGTGTACATACCTCAGTGTGGCAGTCGCGGCGGTATATGGGCACCACGAGGCTGACGGGCGGCCGGCCGAGCGCCGCCGCGCGCCGCTCGCCGCCCAGCTCCGGGTCCGACGAGTGCTCCTGTATCGTGAACTCTGCAACGAAATGTATTCAAACCCATATAAAAAACATTTTAAATCCATATAAAGTTGATTTTATCTCAGACAACCTTTAATAAGTTACATAATAAAATATTTAATGACACCTACTGGCATTTAATCACATTGATCAATTAATAGATAGCGTTAGTGATGATGTGAAGAAAAACGACTAGAGTAGTGTCGACTATGCCTCCTCTATATAGCATTTGAATCTCTTTGAAGAAAAGTCTTCTAACATTATATTTAACTTCTTACTAATTGGGTACAAATTGAAAGTTTGTTAGAATTTGTACCCAAACTGCTGAACAGCTGAAATTTGGCATAGATGTAAAGCATAGTGTGGAACACATATACTACTTATATTTGTTTGCAGATGGAGTCGCGGGCAAAGGCTAGTATCTATTTAATTTTGTACTGGGTTTTGTAGCCTGTCAAAGTCTATACCTTCATCACCATATCCATCATCATCGATTTCTTCCTCTTCATCACTCTCCGATACGTGGACAGTAACCTCGTTAGTCGGAGACTTGCTCCATTCGAAGTACAGACCGAAACCTGGAAATTTCGATTAATTTAACTATAAAAAAAATAATAATAATAAGCCTTTATAATTAAATTACTGTCACATTACATAAATTGAGTTGAATATTGATACATTATATTTATATTAATTTTATTATCTTTTTTTTTTGTTTTGTTTTATTTCATTTGTTATTTTTTATTATCTGTGTGTCCAAGTTGGACATAGGCCTCTTCCAAATTCTCCCATTCTCCCCTTAAAAAGGTTATAAAATAGGCTTGAACTGTTGACCTACGAATCAACAACTAAATTGGCAGCTCATAAACACCAGCATCATAACTCTATACAGCTAATAATTAAACTGATCTAAGAGACTTTACTGGTCTACTTCATACATCACAACATCAATATTAGTTGAATTACCTTAAAATGCCCGGTTCACACTTAGCTAGTACAGTTGCACAGTTGCGAGTCATAAATAGTATGACTGGCGTCATTTAGTGTTCTCGCTAGAATGTTGCCAGTCCAGTTATTGACCAACTGGTTTCTTACATATTATATGGTGCCAAACGTGCGGCCACCTAAATCCACCGAATTTTAATGCGATTGCTGTCCAAAAAAATCCGCAATTGCAAGTACGTTGTCTACTCTTAATTGACGGAGAAGGTAACACACATGAAGACGATATTCCCCCTTCTTATGCTTCTCGTCCTCCGTCAAATCAACGTTCCCTTCCCATCTCATCCAGAAAAAAGGTGGGAAGGAAAAGGGACGAAATACTCCGGTACCATACTTATTAAACGAAACGGGGAATTGCTCCCACTTGACGCCTGTAGTATTACACCGGCGAGCCGACCTATTCGTGCGAAGATGTTAAAGCGGGCTTTACCACTGTAACCTCTATAAAAAAAGTCGGTTGCCAGTCCAGTTGAAGTGTACTGTGCAGTGTTACCTATGTCGTAGTTGTCGGTGGCGAACTCCCAGCAGAGGCAGCGCGCGCGGCGGTGCGTGGGCACGCGCACGGTGACGGTCTCGCCCTGCCCCACGGCCAGCCGGCCGCCGCCCGCGCACGCCGACTGCTTGAACGCCGCCACCTCGCCGCGCGTCCACATGCGCGCCTCCTCCACCGCCGGGAAACCGTCTAACACACCGCAGTGTTTTTTTTTATATAATATAGGGTGGCAAACGAGCAAATGGCCACCTGTATCCACCGAAATGGAAAGCGACCGCTGCCCATAAACATCCGCAATTGTGGATGCGTTGCCTACCCTTCATTGACGGAAGAGGAGACGCACGTAGAGGACATTTCCCCTTCCTATGCCTCTCCTCCACCGTAAAATCCACTTTTCCTTTTCATCCTTTCCTCTTAAGAAAAGAGTGGAAAGGGAAAGGGACTAAAAGTAGGCCTCCGGCACCACACCCATCAGACGAAACGCGGAATTGCATCCACTTCACGCCTGTCTTCTGTGTGGTCGTGGGCGTGGACACCGGGCGAGCCAACCTATTCGTACGAAGATGTTAAAGCGGGCTCTACCACTGTTAAATTTACACTGTTACATTCTTTATGTTATCTCTAGCTGTTGCACGCGATTTATAGCGAAAAATAGCCTATGTCAGTCAGTGATAACATAGCTTTTCAATGGTGTAAGAATTTTTGAAATCGGACCACTAGTTTTTGAGTTATTTCAATACATACAAAAATACAAATCTTTCCTCTTTATAAAATCAGTATGGTGATGTTTTGTTGTTAAATTAGAGCTATGATTAAAATATTATTAAGAAGTAAATAAATAATTTAATTCTCATCAATTAATAACAACTTTGAACCTTAGCGCAGTCAGGGAATTAAATTTCCTTTCCATCGATGAGATTTCACCATGACCAGTTTATAACTAAATAACTGTGAGCTATAAATTATATTTAAACTAATATTTCTAATATTTCTGCTTACCATCATCCGAATCTTCGGCCTTCTCCTCCTCATTGTAGTCCGTAATCTGCTTTTTCTCATAAGTTTGCATTGACCTGAAATGGACCATTAAAATAATAAGAATAAATACTCTTTCACTATGTACAATATACTAAAAATATTAAGATTTTAATAAAAATATATTTAAATGGAAACAAGAATTATCTGCATACTAACTGTAGCCATGCAGCTTATCCGTATTATTACATTATAAAATCTGTATTTTATTGTGTACATTTCATAAAACTTCCAATTGTTAAAATTCAAATGCTTTAATGACAACAAATGCACTTGACATTGACTGAGATTTTTTTTTGTGTTACCATGGCAACCTTGCTTCTTTTCTATTAGCAGCATTGCAGTTAATGTACTATTCCGGCATGATGGTTATGCCAACTAATTTCCCCCTAAGTTATAAAGTGTAAAAAATATATAGCGTGTTGTAAGTATATGGTTATTTATTAAAAATTAAAAAAAACACAAAATCATACTGTTACTACTGACATTCTGCATTTTTTTTTTATAACACAAGGTGGCAAACGAGCAAGCGGCCACCTGAAACCGCCAAAATGGCGAAGCGACCGCTGCCCATAGACATCCGCAATTGCAGATGCGTTGCTTACCCTTACACGACGGAGGAGGAGACACACATAAAGAGGATATTTCCCCTTCCCATGCATCTCCACCGTCAAATCCACTTCCTCTTCCCAACCTCTCCTTAAAAGAAAGGGTGGTAAAGAAAAAGGGACTTAAATTAGGCCTCCGGCACCACACTCATCAGACGAAACACGGAATTGGTTCCATTTGACGCCTGTCTTCTGTGTGGTCGTGGTATTACACCGGGCGTGCCGGCCCTGCAGTGCTAAGATGTTCAAGCGGGCACTACCACTGTCAAATGTATGTGTGTCATAACTAAGTAGTGTGTGTTTACGCTTTATTATATTAATATAGATATGGACAAGTTGTCAGGTAAGTTCAGTTTAATTTCATACAACTGTAGCAGATTTATATACTCACTTATTATCCACATCATCTGCATTCTGGTTTAGACGATTGTCTTCAATTTCCACAATGGAATTATCATTTTCTTTATCACTGTCTTCTTTATTTACGATATTAGAATTAGCTAATCTCTTATCAACAGCCAGCTGTTGTATATATTGTTGGTAATGCTGGTCTTGTAGCTGGCGTATGAGGACCGCTTGCTGGTCAAAGTTGCCTGGGAACTGTTGCTGAGCGTACTCGAGGAACTGATCGTAAGTCTGTGCGTTTAACGCATCTTTTATTCTTTGCCTATAAAACAAATTAATTATTAAAATTAATACTTATATTATTTTTCTCAATATTATTAGTCATTTATATAAATTACGAAAATAATCCTTGTAACAGTTATACTAAACAAATATTATAAGAGGAAAGATTTTTTGTATTTATGTATGTATTGAAATAACTCAAAAACTACTGGGTCAGTTTGAAAAAAAAATTCACCATCAAAATGTTACATTACCAGTGAGTAACATAGGCTTTTTTTTAATTATACGCGGGCGAAGTCGCGAACCACAGCTAGTTGGCAATAAAATTATGTCACTTAGAGTTGAACCTGGATAAGCGAGAGACCAAGAGACCGCGATATTTATTTCGCTCATAGAGATTTCTCTCTAACTAGAGTTTCTCGCTTATAGAAGTCATCCATTGGGCTCATACAATGAATCTTGCTAATAGATTTTTCTCACTTCCGTCGTCGCTTATGCAGGTTTAACTGTATATAACTTGCAAATAAAAATGTATGTTCTGCCTTACACTTGCTGTTCCTCTGTAAGCTTTGTGCTTTGTTGTTTTTGTTTTTCAAGTTCTATTCTGTTCTGTAATTCTAGATGAGCCCTCTCTTCTTCCTGCCTCTTCAGGCTGCAAAAAAAATAATTATTAAAATTACTTAGTAGTTAAAGCCTTATTATAGAAATGTATTAAGAATACAATATTTATTCAGTTTCAATGTTCAAATAAAATCAATTTTTTACTTACTCTTGTTGTTTTTTGTCCTCCAAATCTTTCTGTATGGCCTCTAAATATGGTTTGAACAAAGGGCACAACCTGTTAAATATATTTTACCTTTATTATGAATCTACAAAGAAATAAGAAGTAATAAAAGAAAAAATCTGAACAAACCTATCTAAGGTATGTACGAATCCAGCCATGGCTTGGAACTGTGACATTTGTCCAAGCGCTTGCCATGCCGAACGACGATCTCGTCCAATCACATCTAGGACTCCGAGAGGTTGGGCAGAATTAACATTCAACGGACCATGTGCTGTTTGCTGTGTGTACGCAACTAGTTTTAACTTGTCTTCATAACTCAAGTGCATGGCTTTACCTTCTTTATCTGCAATAGAAGTTTATAAAGTGATGAAGGTTTAATTTTTAATAAGTACTAAGACATATTAAGTTTTAACATTAAGTAGCAAAAGTGGGAATACATAATTTGATAAGAAAGGTTAAAAAAAAATTATTGGTGGTTTTACTCTAATAGCTGTTCTCTGTCTAGACTGTAATAGGAGGTTTAACATTTGAAATAAATGCTTTATAAATATAAAAACAACAATAGCATTTCAAGTATGCTGAACTAGATTTAGTTTATTGTATTTGTAACTTAATCATTTCAATTACTTGACTCAACTTGAATTCAAGCCATCAAGATAACATTTTCATAACAATGTTTACTATTTGTAAGTTAAACTCAATACCTTATCAGTTACAGTATTAATTGCAATACTGTGTACCATATAATCTAATCTGATATGACAATGTGGTTAAAATATCAAAAAAGTTACTATTTTTTTGTAGAAAAACTTAATACTTCATAACTATAATTGCAACAGTAATTTGAAATTCCTCTGACATTGATGTAAAGGGGTGTTGTTAATCACCTTAGTGTTCCTGTCATTTTTTTTGCTGCCAACTCTTAGATGCATTTATATCTAATTCATTAGCCTCAAAGGCATTTAAACAAGAATGAAGGCATAAAAGGAAAAACTGTATTATTACATCTTGATCCTGTCTGATGATTAGGGTTTTAAAGGCTTGAGTCTTTTTTGAGTACTGCTTTTCATAAAATGTTCCTATAGATGATTATAGATTTTTAAATGCATATTTAGATATCAGATTCAAGTAACAATACTACTGCTGGACTAATTCTTACTTAAACATCAAAGTTTTACTATTCTTACTTTGAAATAACACATGATATCCCATTTGCGTTTGGAAATAGAACTAAATACGACAAAGACTAATAAGAAAATATTATATATTGACATAACAATTAGTTTAAAATTAGGTGGATAAGAAAATGAAGAAATGTTGTATCCTTGGATTGCATGTTATCGGTTTATTATTAGCATATATCCGATTTTTTTTTCAGCCACATAAAATCGAATAAGTAATCAACTTACAACATTAAGTTAATCAATACAAAATACGGATAAAGATAAAAATATACCTTTATAAAATGAGAGTCCATGTTTGTAGACTTCTTTTAACGGCAAACCCCATTTTCGTTCTTCACTTTCTAAGATACCTTGATCGGTTTCAAGAGGAACTTTTTCAGGATTCACTTTCAATGTAGTTTCAATTTTACTAGCCATGTTTCTATAAAAAATTTTTTCGTAGCAAGTCCAACTCTGCGGTAAATGTTTTTTTATTTGACAAATCAATAGCAGAGTTGCCAAGGCGAATTCGACATCAGTTTTCAAGGTATTATTGATTTATTCTCTGTTTCCCTTATTTTATGGTCCACTGACTTGTTTGCTACATTTCACTCACTGAATAGAAAAGAGTGTTATTTTTATGGAGAAAGACCATCAATTTTTAAGTTTTTAAACCTATTTCATTTTTTGTGCACTTTTTCTTGCTCTTATTTTTTAGCTGTAAATACTTTTTACTTTAACGTCAATTTTGACATTTACATTTCTTTCATGTATAATTTTCTTGGTGTTGAGGATTTTTTTCTTTTCAACCTTCAATTTCCTATTCAGTTTCCAAGAACTAACATTGAATATTCGATAAACAGAAAAAAAGCTAAATCAAACGTATACAAGGCTTGTTTACAATGTATGGAATTTACGTAAATGCAAAACATTCATTGTTATTGTTGCAAAATAACATACTATCTTCGATTGAAGTGATTTTTGCATTGTTTACGGCTTAACTCACAAGTGTAATCATGGAAGTTAACCCTTTGAACATATTTTTCGTGAAATCGGACAGTAAAGGTGATAGACTATTGTTTAGATATCCCTATAAGTTGGACAACAAAGATGAAAACACGCAAAAGAAATGTGGCCGTCATAATCCGTACGCAATTAACTGCAATGAAGATCTATTGCAAAATCCACAAACACAGACATCTAATGTCTACAAAGGTTTGTAAATCAAATTACATTGCTAAAATTTTATACAACATGTAGTCTAGTTGAAAATTAAAATGTACACTTATATTTTAGGTCAACTCAGTGGCTTCACAGACGAAATGCTATCAACATTGTTTGCAGTGAAAGCTGAACTATGTAACAGGAAGTTTGAATTAAAAGTGAATGATGTAAGATTTGTGGGCCATCCAACTCTCCTGCCTTATAGGACTAACAAGGATGATACAGCTGCTATGATTCTTATAAATATTGTATTCGCTTTACAAGCATCTGCAAGTCATTCTATAGGTTAGTTTATTAGAATTACTAAATAATGTGATTTCTATGAAATGTGTCAGCATGGAATAAACAACTCTGTCCACTCAGACAAAAAAAACTTAATTGCATTAAGATCCATTTAGGTGTATTGAACATATACTTTATCAAACATTTATCCATCCATCCATCTAAGCTATTGCATCTATAAGTAAGATTAATGTTTAAAATAAATTAATGCAATGTATACTACATTTACGGGATAACAGATGTCTTATGTTTTCTTCTACACTGTTCTATTTCTTTGCAAATTCCATCCAGATTTATTCAATCATGATTAAAGAAATCCTTTTTTTAATGATGATGATTAACAAAATATATTTTAAAACATCTTTTTATTTGCAGTAAAATGTTATTATGATCTGAGCAAGAGATTGGGTAAGGCTTTGAGGCATGAAGAAAAGAGATGTTCCTATTTGACTGAAGAAATGAAAATAATGGTAAGATTTTGTGATTATAACACACTAGCTTTCGCTTGTGGCTCTGTCTGAGTGGAATTAATAAAAAAGCAAGTAGCCTATGATTACTACCAGACTATCCTCTACATCTGTGCCAAATTAAATTGAGATCCTTTTAGCAGTTTAGACTAGACACTCTAACAAACATCCATCTAAACTGTCACATTTATAATATTAGTAAAATAAACTATAGTACCTAAGTATTTCCAAAACCATGTTTCAGTTGGCAACGCATGATGAAGTTTCAGCTCTGGAAAGTGAAGTAAATTCAAGAGAGAATGATGAGGAGGATGAAAATTTACGTCACTCTGTTAGTTCAGCGACATACAGTAATGATAACTGTGGTGATGGTTCTCCCAAGTCAGCATTTCATTTGATATTACAGAGAAGTTCATTGGCAAGGTCTATGAAAGCTGTATTTGAAGGTCTCAGTTCAACAGGTATGATGGTTTAATATTTATTTGTGCTATAAAAAAGATAAATCTATTATAGTATGTATGTACAGTATGCTGTCATCCTCTATTGCAGTATTGCAATTATCCACTTTCTTTTTTAATAAGTACTTCAGCACTACTGCAGGAGTAGGTCAAAAATATTCCTTTCTGAAATAGCAACATTAGCTTTATTACATTTCTAGCTGTTGCTGGCAATTCCATGGAATTATAAACAATAGTAATATATACAGCCTAAGCAACCCAGTAATAACATAGCTGTCTATTGGTAGAATTAATTATTTAAAGAAATTCAAAAATACAATTCCTTGCTTTTTATAATATTAGTATCAATATTGTATATGTATATAAACAGCTTTTTTCTTATGATAAACAACCATAACAAACCATCCTACAAAATTGTCTTTTAATATTTATTTTCTCTTCTGTGTAGGTATTGTACAAGTTCGTATAAACAATTGGGTACTGCTATCATTCTGTTTGCCTCACAAAGCTCATCAGATACATAATAGAGGACTGATCATTGAACCTGAATGTATAGACAAATGTCTACAGAAGCTCAGACCTTACCATGGCATCTTACTTATGGTATGTATCCACAATTTTATGTATGTTTTAATAAAATATTGCAATAACATTAAAGATTTTACAGTTATTCCATTAGCTGAAACTATTTGTAAGTCACTTGCTTTGTGCTAGTATAATTTACTTATATAGCATGACTAGAAATATAAAACTCCTTGCCATAATGCTTAAAAATATGGAACTAATTTCTTTCGATTGAAATGTAATATATTAGAGTATTAGAGGAAGTTAGTATTTATTGAGTATATTAGAGGAAGTTTGAGAGTAGCCCCAGTGGTTGAGAAAATAAGGAGTAAAAGGTTAGAGTGATATGGGCATGTTATGAGAAGGAATGAATCGCATGTAACAAGAAGGATGTTAGTTATGAATGTGGAGGGGTACATTGGTAAAGGTAGACCTAGAAAGAGATGGATGGATTGCGTGAAAGGTGACATGATCAAGAAGGGAGTGATGACTGAGAAGACGGATGATAGAGTGCTTTGGAGGACGAAAACCCGGTGCGTCGACCCTACGGGAGTAGGATAAGGCAGGGGAGATGATGATGATGATGACATTGAAATGTAATGTAATAAAGAAGGCGATTAAAATATGGCAGGGTTTTCGTATTCTTAGTTGGACTATACACTGCTTTAAGAATTGTCTTGCTGGAACTCTGATAACTCAATTAGTTACTTATTTAAAAAAATACATAGCTATACTATATACCATTGATTTTAAATTGTTTTAGGTGGATCCAAATGAACTATTAGCATCAATTCCTCTTGATGGAAGCCCAGCATTATTAAGATTGATCAAGCTGTATAGTCCTCTAAAAAGCTTACAGACACTCGCTATTGAAGCTGACTTATCTTTCACACAGGTGAGTTATCTAAGAACATACACTGTTTTAAAAATAATGCTATAGATATCTGTCTGACCTAACAAGTACACTTTATTACAAATAAATTGTGGTGGCATAGATTTTTATATCATATGGCGGAAAACATAGGCCGAATGAATTGTCAAAAAAGCGAAGCGATCACATAAATGCACTATTATAGATCTGTTGCCTATCCATAATAGATGGAGGAAACACACAAAAAGATATTTCCCCTTCCTATGTATCTACTCCACTGTCTTCTACTTTCTCTTAAATTGGATCGGGAAGTATAAGAAAACTTATATTAAATTAATAATTTCCTATATTATTTGTCTCCAGGTGTCCCAATTAACAGGTCACCTAGTGTACTGGGCGAAGGCGACAGTGATATATCCGTTGTGCGAAGGCAATGTGTATGTTGTTGCTCCTTGCGGCAATGTGAACATACACTCTCCACTGTTAGACGAGTTCGCTAAAGAGTTCCCGGGTCTCTGTCTAGTGCAAGTATGGTTTTTTTCTTATTATTTTTTTAAAAAGGTCCGCTGTTAAGTTATTGAAGCCATCTGCGGGTTGCCTAATGCCAGCTCTTCAGAATCCCTCAATGTCCCATTACATCTTTTTGTCTTTTGGGGAGGTTCTACTCCTGCTTCTTATGTTAAGATGGATGGATGTTTGTTGTAGTTTATAGCCAAAACGGCTGAACAGATGTTGATGAAATTTGACATCAATGTAGTGGATAGTCTGGAAGAACACATAGGCTATTTACTTTTATTTTATTCCACGCAGACGAAGTCGCAAGCCAAAGCTAGTTATTTCTATAAGTTTGTAATTATTTGTAAGTGTAGTATCGTGAAGTTTTTTATGACTGTTAGAGGTATAAATGGGCATCGTACATTACAGATGTTAAGTGAGTTCTCCCTGCCGGCCCCGCTGTGGTTCAAGGCGCGAGGCGGGGGCGGCGGCGGCGGCGGCGGGGGCGCGCGGCTGGCGCGGGTCGTGGCGTGGCTGCTGCGCCGCAAGCTGCTGCTGCAGCTACACACATATGTACACTTCAACTCTCCTAACTGGAATGATGATCCCGGTATGTGTGTTAATTTGTCAGAAGCCTATGTTCATTCAGACTATCCTCTACATCTATGCCAAATTTCATCGAAAACCGCATAGCTGTTTAGGCTAGGAACTCTAAAATCCATCCATCCATCCATCCATCTAAACTTTCGAAATTATAATATTAGTATGCATTTTTGGATTTTCGTATGTATTGAAATAACTGAAAAACTACTAGGCCGATTTCAGAAATTCTTTCACCATTAAAAAGCTAGTAGCTAGTAGTAGCTGAGTAATGCAGGCTATAATATTTTCACTATATTTTTACATCCAATGTAGACGTAACCACGAGCAACAACTAGTATGCTATGGAGAGGAATCATTTGTATTTTTGTTTGTATTGAAATAACTCAAAAATTAATAGGCTGATTTTAAAAATTGTATTAGAAAGCTATGTTATTATCAAGTAACATTGGGTATTTATCACTAAAACTGGGAATTAATTTATTATCTGTGTTATATAATTTTATGTTTGTTTCAGATGGTCAAGAGTATTACTGCGAGAAACATGACATTTACAATCAATCATGCAACATTTCGTTCTCTTCACTAAATCAAATGCAACTGAACGTTCCGGAACCTGTGGAACCGAGGGAAAGTGCAAACACATTCCCCGACTCAGACGAGGACTATCCTACAGAGAATAATCTAAACCAAACCGATTTCTCGCATACGAAACCGATTGTAATCGAATCCGAACATACGAAACACGAGAAATTCCATACGAACGATTCAGCGAATCATTCGTTCGACGATGGGATGGATGTTGTCGATGGTTTCGTTCCGAAACCGAACGGAGTGAACGGTTTCGGTCATAACGATCAGAAGAAGCAACCAAACTCTGTCGATAGTGGTATATCGAATAATGTTAATGGTGATAAATTGCATATAAATGGATCTATGGATGTTGACCATAAAGAAGTTAAAATAGCAAATCCAATGACGTCACGATTATCAGATGCGTCATTAAAAGAGAAAGATGCTCCTAATAATGTTGATTGTGATGAAAATATGATGGATTGTGATGTATCACCAAGACAGAAGAACCAGAATGTGTTAACCAATGGTACAGATAAAAAGAACGGTGTTTCTCTTAATTTGAAACTACAAAATGAAATGAGGTATGTTGAGTGCCCTATGTTTATGTTAATTAATACACTAAAACAATTTAGATTGAGATCTGTTAAGCTATTTTGTAGATAAGTGGTAACAAATATCCATACTATCCAAACTTTTTCTTATGATATTATTAGCTGCGATGGGACTCCGTCTACTTTTAATAAAAAAAAAACTTCAGTACCTTATTTGTCCTTCCAGATTATGTTCAACATTTTGTGTGAACGTAGTCACTCGCGAAAGCTATTTTATAATGTTAGTAAGATAAGTATAAGTATAGAGCACGGACCATGAAGAATTTTGGCATAGATGTAGAACATAATCTAGAAGTACACACACACACACGTGCGAAATCTAGTTCAGATAAGTATAAGTATTACGATGATGTCTGACAGTTTCCAGCCGCCGACTGTGTGCGGGGGTGTGGGGGAGTGCGAGGCGGGTGCGGGGGCGGTGGCGGGGGCGGGTTCGGTGCGCGCGGGGTGCGCGGGGGACGAGTCCCCGCTGCACTCGTTCACGCCGGCGGAGCGCGCCGCACTCGCCGCGCTGCCCGCAGCCAACAACCCGGATGATCTGCTGCTACTCGCTACACTACATAAGAAAGGTGAGTTTTATAAATGTGAAAGTTTATATGTTTGTTTGTTTGAACACTAAAAAGGTGAACGGATCTCGGTGGAAATTGGTATCAATCTAGAGCATTGTCGGAAACACATAGATTACACACTTTTTTTAATTTCACGCGAATGGAGTCGTGGTCGAAAGTTAATATACTATACATAAAAAAAATACCTACTGTCATATTTCATAAGGTAAAGGGATAAACCCCCAATGGGTCAAAACCCATCACTCTCTAAAGACACTTGATAAATAAATATAAAAATAACTGGTCCCACGGCGTCATCCGCATCATATAAAAATTTGCTTTATTTTAGTTCTACGTCCTATAAAAATTTCATTGTCAAAATTAAATTCAAAGGTATCTTTTGCCCGTGATTTCATCTGCATTTAAAAAAATACTTGTAAGTACACCAAAAGACACATTTTAACTTATAATATTGATTTTCTTAGGTTATTTCCGCGGCGAAACACATCTAGAAGAGATAATGTTTATGGAGAATGTAACTCGGTCACAGCTAATGCAACTGCTGGATAAGTTCAAAGGTGTGCTCATCACCTTCGAGACTGAGGACCCCGCCGTCGCTATGCTCTACCCTTACCAGTAATATTACCCTAGTTATTATGGTAATATTACTTGAATTATTAATTTATATTACCGGAATAATTATTGTAGTAATATTACTTGAATTATTAATTAATATTACCGTAATTCAATTTACAGCCTGTTATTACTTAGAGAAATTAGGTTAGAATTAAACAAAATTTAACATCAAAATATATATTTTCATTCTATATGCTTTATATTGAAATGGTTCAGACTTTTTATTGTTTAGATTTTTGCGTATTGTAAGATTTTGGAATTAATTACAGTAATTTCGAATTGTACACAGTCTGTTAGTAATAGAATTAAATGGTTACCGAAAAAAATTATCTAATCTCTAAAACTCAGTTTTACCAAAGTTTTTAACTGATTTTTTGTTTTTAAATGTGTACCCAATGTTATCCCTGTTTCTCAGTATTATATGTATGTATTTATGGTAATGTAAGAATGGTAAAAATATGTATGCTTTCATACTAAAATGTTTTTTATTGAAAATTGCGCCTAGTTTCGTGTTATGTATAGATTTATTTATTACATCTTCATCTAAATGCCTAAAGTAATATGTATGTTATTCCATTAATATGTTTAGTGTGATATTGTAGCGTTTTAAATATCATATACTGTGATGTAACTAGAGTAGTAATTTGTTGTATATTATTGAGAATTTTCAATGTCTAAACATATAACACTTGATGTTTTTCAGCCTTCATGTTTTTTTTTGAAAAAAAGGAGCCAATTTTTTTTTATATTTCCATTCCGGAATTAAAAAAAATTGGGTCGAAGTATGCCTGATTTTGTATAAAATTATGTTATCATGTAATCTTTTTAAAATTTAAATTCACTTTGGTCAAAAGTTACTCTTCTATTAGTCATTTAATCTCATTTGTATAATGAATATAAAATTGTCATACTACTATATCTTAAGAAATATATTTATTAGTTTTATATTTTAAAATTGTTTTATTGGTTTTATCCCTTTCTTTTTCAAAAAATGGCGCTTCTACTCCAACTTAAACTGTAGCCAGAAAATCTTTTTAAAACGTTTGTGTGTAAGTTGAGTTTATTTTACCTCAATTGCATTACGCCTTTTAACACGTTTTTGTTTTAAAAACGGAAATTAAGGCGAAAAAAAATTATTCTCGTTAACAGTTATAAATAGCAGCTACAATAGTTGAGCGTAACTGCTTCGTTGTAACTAGTATTTACAAAAGTAGCAGCACTATGCGTCAAAAGCAGCTGTCATTGATCAAATGTCAAATATTGTGTTGCGAGATGCGAAACAATTGAAATTGTTGTGGAATTTTTACTTTGTTCGGTCAGTTCGCCAGTTAAATTAAAACATGAAGAATTTTCCAGTATTTGTGTTCCCTGTTTCATTGGAATTTTATTTAAATGCAAGGCATACACACAAACAATTACTGACAGTGTACAATCCGTACGATTTCTCAGTTAATTTTAAAGGTAAATTGTAAACATAAAATCGTATTTAACCATATGGTTCAAGTAAATAATTGCGTGGTATTTTCAGTGCTATGTACTTCTCCGAATAAATTCACCGTGATAGATCCAGAAGGTGTTATTGCGCCGCAGAGTTGCATAGATATAGTTGTTCGATACACGCAACCTTCCCTAGCTCATTGTAATACAACTGAAAAATTCAGGATAACAATGTATGATAGAAATACTCAGCAGGTAAGATTACTAGTACTTCTTTTATGATACATTTTTAAAATTAAATCATTTCATTGGACTTGATGTGTTACTTTGAATATTTTCTGATATTTTAAAAATACCATGATATGTTTATGAAGTTCTAAAAAATAATCTAAATATATTTCAGGCTCTGGGTAAAAGAGACATTCCAACAAAGTTAATAGAAGGTGAACCTCTTAACACTACTCAAGAAAGTTTTGGAGACAATTTCCATCCAATTACCACCAAAACGCAAGTGATCAGGCCTACTGAGGAACATGGGAAAATTGCTTGTAATCATCCTTCACATCACAGGTATATCGAGCTTTGTTTCTTGAGTTTTGCACATGTTTATTTATTATGATTTTAGGAATCATCATTATTCTTTTTTTGGTCAAAATGTTAGTTTTGTTGCACATTGTTTGTATAAAAAACATGTTTTAGATAATTTATAATGGTGGGAATCATTCTTAAAGTAATAAATAAACATAACATTTTGAATTTAAATATAAATTTCAATGAAGATTTGGTGTAAAAAGGTTTATTATGTTTTATGCCATTATGGAGCGAGGCTAATATGCTAATTAAACAGGATTGCTTTCAAGGTGACATCTACAAATGCAATGTTGCACAGAATTTGATATAAAAAATTCTTATTACTGGAAATAGTTGTTTTTTGTTTTATTTTCACTACTTAAATTAAAACTTGTGAGATAATTTTGGATCTTATTTGCAATCCATTAATAGATATGTAAATTTTAAGATAAGTGCATAAATGTAATAACAAGTTTATCAGTAGACATTTCACAATGACACAGCACCAAATATTTACCACATCATTATAAGTAACAATACCTCACATTCGTAAAAGTGTATATTAAATTCATTGGAAAATATTTCTTTGTTTTCTTTTTAGAGAGCAACAGCCAATAAACGTTGTTGCAGTCGCAGTGAGTATTTGTTGCATAGCTGCATTATTACTGCCCACCCATCCTGAGAACATAACACCATCACAATTACCAGACTGGCTCCACATTGGTTCTAATCTCAAATTAGTATTCTCCTTTGTTTTGGGCCTGGTAAGTATGCTAGTATTACGACCGTAAGATTTTTTTAAACTCCTTCCCAAAATATGGGTCTGCAATAAAAGGTTTTTAAGTAATTTTAAGGTATAATGAACAGCATTTTGACATTTTGCCATAAACCAGACATCAGGAATTATAATTAATATTGATTATTAAGTTATTTGTGCAATGTACATTATGTACACTTATTGATCTCCGAACCATATACTAAAAAAATAACATTACATAGTATTCAAAGACATTAGATATAAACATTTGTGAAGTCTATATACATATTTCCCCTATGTCTGTATTATAAAAACATTGCCTGTTCATAAAAAGCAATAATTTATATGTTTACCATAATTTAACTAACATTAGCTTTTATATACTTTAAATATTTTATAACAATTGGATTTTTAATCTTTACAACATCTCACTTTTACTATTCTGTACTAACACATCAATTTTGATTTAATTTTATTATTTTTAGTAAAAAGTAAAGTTAAAATCTCTGCTTTTATTATACATGACAATAATGGCCACACGGTTGTGTTGGTTTTCTCAGTTTTGCATTTTTTTTAATTATTTTTTTTACGTATCTGGTCATTAAGTGATTGTGTTGTCCTAAATATTTAATTTTTACTTTATTGTAAGGTTTTTTTTTAAGAAAGCTTGGTACTTTGGAAATTGGTAAAGGGTGCTAAATTTATCTTAGTTTTATTGGAAAAGGTGTGATATTTTCTAGTATTTGTATAAAATTACATGTTTTGTGCCTGTGTTATTTTAATTTATTTTGAGCCAAGGAACTTAACAGTTAATAACTTTCCAATGATAAAAGTAGTTTTATACAATGTTTATTGACAGCTTTATAAGATTATTTTATAGTTTTATGATGTTAAAATTAAAAAAAAATAAAAATCTTCTTAAATAATTTCTTTGAGCAGACTAATACACTAAATTACTAATTAGAATTTATAACTTATTGGCCCATGTATTTGTCTATTAAGAATTTATGATTTATTGCCATATAAAAAACTTTTCTTTCTGTATTAAATATGCTTTCTAGATTGTACATATTAGGTTAAAAATGTTATGAATGTACATTTTTTAAAACCTGTGTAATGGGACCATTTATTGTAAATTTCTGATCATACCAAATATATCCTTTATCAACATTAAATTGTTTCATTTCAATTTATCAAGATGTAATTGTTAATAACATTTTTTTAAACATAAATAAACCAGCGCTTGACCACGACTCCACCTAACTTAAGTGAAGACGCGGCCGAAGGATAGAGCTTTAGGATAGATAAATTATTAGAGTTACATCAACTAATAATATAAATACGAAAGTTTGGTGTTGTTAAATACGAAAGTTACGATGGTGGTTACCACCAATTTTCAAAACAGCTTAAAGTATCTTGAAAGTAACAGCTATGCTGCTTACTGTGTTTTTTTTAATTCGCGGATGAAATTGTGCGCACCGGCTTGTACCAAAAACATTATAGGTCAAGCTTAGTTTTTCAGAATGTTAACATAAATTATATAATCTACAATCCCACTGTAAGGAAAAGGGCAGGGTGGTGATAAGAAACGTTTTTAAATCAATAATTTATTTCATCAATTCCTTGGCAATGAACAAAGATTAACAATTTATAAACTTTGAACATAATCTATGTTTTACAACAAGGAACTATTTAACTTTTACAATTCTATAACATATCCCAGCCGAAAAAAAGGGACGGATCATTTCTAAGTCTAATAAGTGTTAAAGGAAAAACCACTTAAATGGCACTATGTTACTACACTAAATTTAAATGTTAACATTTTTCATTAATAAATAAAATAAAAAGCTGCAGTCACTATAATAAATATTTCAGACCTCATAGTCAATATTTCTGAATTATTATTTACTGTGTTTTATTGTCATATTGTTATATTTCTTGTGTAGTGTTTATTTGAAAATCTAAACTTTAATATTTGCAATTGCACACATCTCAAGTCTATCACCACAAAAAGTTTCTGCAATTTAGCAAGAAATATTAATCAATTTATATTTCTTCCGATTTGTAATAAAGCCTAAAGCAATCAAAAATTTGGTAATCATTGTTTTACAATATTTCAGGAACATATTAAGGCTGCTTGGTTTATTTTACATTATATATTAAGTATGTATTATATTAACAGAATCATAATTTTTTAAATCTACTATATGTAAATGGCAGGTACTTTGATACTACGCATTTATGATATAATATTAACTAATATATATTTATGTGTAGTAAACTATGATATGCTATAAGTCAACCATGATATGAGTAAATAATGGATGGAGTACAGTTGCAACTTCTGTGTATTGTAAAGAGTTCAATCCATCTTCAATCATTCCTTTTATTGTAAAGGGTTTTTGATTCTTATTATACCTAAAATTAGTATAAATATAATTTCATTAAATTTTTACTTATCTTAAAGTAACATGAGTTGTAAAATATTTACTTACCAACTTCCCTGGTGTCCATTTGGTATCTTGTGGTATTCACTAATTTGATTTTCAAATTGACATATCTTCAACATCAGTGATTCAATTCGAGCAAATAAGTCATCATCTTCAGCAATCACATTGTAATATTTATTGCTCATTCCATTTATAATTTTAAATTGTTTAGCCATTATAGCTATAGGTCCTAGGTTTAAATATGGTAAAATAAATCTAAAAAATTATATAAAACTTAATTAAAAATACAGATATGATTAAAGATATTTCTATGATTTTAATGATAATTTGTAGCAATTAAAGCTGTCTGTTGCAAATATTTGCCAATGAATGTTATGATTTTTATTTACAAAATATGTTTCACTTTATTTTTGATGGAAAATATGATTTTTACAGAATGGTTCTTCACCTAAATTTAGTATAGCTGCCTGACATATGTCTAGGGTATTTAGTGCATGCGTAAATATTAGCAGGCTCTAATGGCAATTGATCAACGTCATGTAGAATGAGACATGGATATCCAGCGTTCATGGCAGCTATAGCACCAATATTAATCAACTTAGCCCTGTTGAATGGTTGGGAATCCAGCTGCTCAACAACATATATGCGATAGTGGACATTTTGGCGACGCAAGAACGAATGCATGTACACCAAAAAACTTCGCAACTGTTCTGCTCTGTCCCTGTATTCATTGAATATGTTAAAATTATTTTAACAAGTACATCGCTAATATTAACATATAAATGTTAAATACCGATAAGGTACGATGATCGCTGAACTGAATAGCGCTTTACAATACGGAGGAGCATATTCTCCGCCTTCGTTTATCCTGTATCCATCGCTCAAATCGCCGTCTGTTATCGTGGCAGGCAATGTTGTATCGTCGTATATTACATCACGGTAATCACAGTCCACTATTGCAGTACTAGTGTAATTTTCAGTGATTTCTTCGTGCAGTGACCTAATGATATGCTGTCTTTCTATAATTTCGAATGCGCGTCGTGTTTTTATACCAGGTTGAAATAATAAAATTAACACGACAGTGAAAAACACTAAATAAAAAATCTTCTTTTTTGATGCATAACGCATGACAAATTATAATTATTTTAACTTAAACGAGGACGCATATAAACCCGTTATTGATCAGCTGATTATTCCCATACAAAACATTTTGCCGCATTAACTTGACAGTTGTGACGTAACGTCAAAACATTTGTCGAATAGTGATGCTCTCTGACCGTTTTTTTACAACTGTTAACTGTCTTGCGTTTTAGACCCCGTGTAATACCTCGTCTAAAACGTTAACTATTAAATGTAATAATAAACAATGTTCTACTTTTCATACAATTAAAAAATATAAATTCATTAAAGTAATTGTATGAATTGAAATGTAAAAACAAAACAAAAACGTTGCCGTATGTAAAACGAACATTAGGGTGGTTTAAGTTTTTGTAAAAGTACCCTACAAGAAATAATTATTTGACAAAGACGTTAAACGACGTAAATATAACAAAAATGTAAAGCTACGCAGTGTATACTTTATCCTATATTAAACCTGGCGTGTAATGTTTAATAATATGAAAATGACATTAAAAGGCGAAAAAGAAACAAATATTGACAACGAAAATGACAAAGAAAATAAGTGCTCATTGATGAATGATACAATTGAAGCTGTACGGAAATGTTCCAGAGATGATTTACTTAATGTCTCATGGGAGCCTAATTTAGATGTTCATAAAGATAGCGAGAGCGATATTGCTCTTCCTTTTGTAAGTATTGTGATGACTGACAGTAGAGTTGATATCTCTACTCAAACTGATCCTTTAGTATCTCGCATCAATTGTAGCGTTGTGGATGTAAACTTGTCTCTTGGTAAAGAATTTGATTTCGAAGATTCCACTTGCACTGAGCAAACGGATTCGAATTTAGTAAGCAGACGTTACAGAAAAAAATCGTTCGAAGACAACGGGGATATTCGGCCCTCGAAGAAAATAAAATGTTCGAAACATAATTCAAGTTATGTGACGGATTATTTGACGGAAAATAAGTCATTTAAATCATCAGACTCGTCGAGCAGACTGTCGTCAGATTCAGAAGTTTCGTTTAAATCTGTAAACAGCAACAGCTCGTATAAGATACGCAAAAGAAGACTTAAATCTGAGACTAATTTACTCAAGGACGCATTGCACAGAGCAAGAAAGAATATCAGTAACAGTAAGTAGTCTAGTCAGTACAGTCTTTCTAGTAGATATCAGATATTGATAGATTTAAAATATTGTGCTTCTATAAAATTTGCCAGATTACGTTTTTCAATGTAAAAGAAATATCCTACTCGGGAACCCCCTTCAAATTGAAATAAAACTCAATGCGTTTTTTACTTTAATCATGTAACACGTCTTTATGGACATGTTATGCGACGAAACGAAGGGGACATAAATCAGTAAGGAAGACCGAAGAAAGTATGAATGAATTGTGTGAAAGAGGATATGCTTAAGAAAGGAGTGGATTCAGTATGACGGCTGCTAGAGATGTATGGAAGAGCTGCACATACTGTACCGACCCTCCGTAAGGGATAAGGGCAAGTGGATGATGATGACAACGTCTTTATCTCTAACTACACAAAGTTTCTTTTACTTCTTGCCAGCCACTTACACGACACGCTTTATTCGTCCTACTTTCAGTTCTTGCCCATTGGTTTCTCTATTTCAATAAATAAATGACCAGTATCAAGATTGTTTAAAAGTCTTGTAAGCAATCTTAGGTTTAGTATTTCCAATGTTTTTAAGTCGAGCGATGGTAATCAAAGCTAGTTATATATTTTTCATAAGAAATACTTCCTTTTTTGCCGCTAAAACAGTATAAAGCCACAAAAATTGGATACGTAAAATTTGAATTTAGAACTCGCGACCGCATGATCAAAACTGGGACACTGAGCTATCAGTTACTCTAGTAAATGAATATAAAAAACATACAGACGAATTGAGTACCTCCTGCTTTTGGGAAGTCGGTCAAAAAGGTAAACATAGACCCCAATCATATACTTTTAATAGCGAAATCGTGGTTTCAAAAATATACATAAGATATTAGACTCAAATTAGATGTAACGAAGTTGATATAATTTCCTTATAAATAAAGCTATAATTAAAATAGCGACTTGACACACGTGTGCTTTCAACATAGAAAAAAATACTAAAAGGTTAAAAAGATCATTTTAAGTGATACATCGAGTGCGTTTAATTTCATAACACGGCAGTCGTGTGCTGATAAATTTAGATGAATGACATCATTCGCTTTCAAAACTTAACGTCCACGATGAGAATCAAGTTTAAACAAGAATTTTGCTCGTGTTTTAAAAACAAAGTGAAATGTGTGCTAAAAGGGGGAATGTTTTGTTAGATGTTGATATAGAATGTGATTTAGAGCCTGGGATGCTCAATGATGTGAATTGGTTCGTGTTCACAGGCGAGACACCGCGAAGAGATAAGGGAAATCGACGAGTTAGCCGCGCGAAGTCATGGCGTATTTTGGATATTTGTACATGGCTTGGAAGGAAGGTGAGATAATGTTTATATATGTCCACTCTATTATTCTTATAGGCTGGAAAGTATTTTTTTCAGTAAGCGTAAGTAGCATAAAATAAAAGCAAGTAAAATAAATTGCTGTTAGTTTTATAAATTTGTTTAAACAGTTATTACTACACTGATACTATTCTAATAATAATATGTAAACAAAAGCCCGAGTATATCCGCAGTGGTTTTATTATACTCTTATATATCGTTATATAGGTTTTTAGTTTGATTGCTAAAAAGATATTCAGTTTACAACGGAAGTCAAAAATCTATTTCGAACCATTTTTCTTATCAGCCGTTTTAATTATAATCAAATATAACTAAAATATATATTGAAATACATGATCTATTACATAAGAGGCCATTGAATTATATTTTTGCTCCGTTTAGCAAAAAAAATCTTGAAACGATTGCAAGGATACAATAATGACTTCACCGTTGTGACTATTTTCAGGGCTACCAGTCAATAACTGGCCTTTACTCCGAGATGCTTCAAGAGCCAAGACCTTGCAGCAGGGACTGTGGAGGCAGTTTTGTGGTGGAAGAAGTTAAAGAATTAAGAAGATTTGTAGAAGAACTAAACACGAAACAGTCGCGGCTATCTCTAGAGAACGAAGAGTTGCACGATAGAGTGAAGAAGATGACCATTAAGATCGACGAATTGGAAGATAAGCTAAGGTTTATATCAGTATCACTTAATATTTAGGTTTATATAATTGCCATTCTACATGTGACTGAAATGCGAATGTTAAGATGGATGTGTGGGGTAACACGAATGGATAAGATACGAAATGAGTATATAAGCGGAAGTTTGAGAGTAGCCCCCGTAGTAGAGAAGGTAAGGAGTAAAAGGTTAGCATGGTATGGGCATGTTATGAGGAGGGATGAATCGCATGTTACAAGGAGAACGTTAGTTATGAGTGTGGAAGGGTACACCTAGAAAGAGATGGATGGATTGTGTAAAAGGCGACATGATCAAAAAGGGAGTGATGACTGAGATGACGTATGATAGAGTTATGTGGAGGACAGAAACCTGTAGCGCCGACCCTACGGCAGTAGGATCAGGAGATGATGATGATGTTATAATTGCTGCTGTTTTTTTTTTAATATGATCAAATCTAAATACACAGAGGTAAAGGGAAAATCGCTAACACACTACCGTAATTAAAGATATTGCAGCAAATGTTTTACACATAATCACCTACTAGCTGTGCCCATGCGGCTTTATCCGCATTATAAAAACTTTATTATTGTTTACATCTGTGAAATTCAATTGCAAATGTCAAAATTCAAATTAACAAATGACAACGATGGAAATTTTGCTTCTTGATGTTGACAGCTCGTAGCGTATGATTTCTTTCTCAAATTAGGGTTTTTATCCAATTTATTTACCCACTAAGTTTAATAGCGCGAAAATATATAGCCTAAAGCGTTATGTAAATATAGGGGTTTTTATTAAAAAAAATCAAAAATATGCATTAATTGCTCACATCTTACGCCACAAAGAAGTGTGTTTACGCTTTATTATATTGGTATAGATATAGATAATCTTATTGTGTGCACTCTACAGCAAGCAACAACAAACGAAGCAAACAGTACCTGTGAAGGGCGCCCCGCCCCCTCCGCCGCCACCGCCCCCTCCTCCTCCGCCGCCGCCGCCGCCCCCCGCCCCCGTGACCAAGCTGCCCGTGCGCTCCAACACGCTGCCCCGCTGCGGCTCCGCGCCGCCCAGGATCGCCGCGCCTCGCCTCACCATCACGCCTGAAGACATTGCCAAAGTCAAGCTCCGGAAAGCTAAGGTTAATAATAACGCAAAATAACAATCAGCAAAATTATACTATGAATGACATAAGACCTCAATAGGTCGCTAATTGGTCACAAAACCGTTTTATCTTAGATTTAATACGGGAAATTTAAACTTACCCTCAATTACTCTCAACTCCTATTGACCGAGTGTGATACTAAGTTATTTGTCGTAATCTTTAGACATCCACAATATATGCAGGATAACCCAGTGAAGTGTAAGCCGATACCCAAAGAGAGTCAGCCGCTCGTCACACAAGACATGCTGCAATCGACGCGCGCCAAGCTCGGTCGATCCCGGCCCGTAGCCTCCTCTACGCCAAAACAGCAGCTCACGGAGCTTGAGAAGTAATGTCGTTTTTACTATTTTAGAAATATTTCACTCTTAATTAGATTAAACCAATTGTATTATTGTTTTGACAGATGTCTGCTACAAGAGACGTCGGTGACGTCACTGTTCCGACGGCGTGTGTCACGTGGTTCGTTCCGCAGCGCGGAGGAGCTGCGCGTGCGGCCCTACCCCGCGCGCTCCCCGCGCTCCCCGCGCTCGCCCCACTCGCCGCGCGCCAACTCGCTGTCGCGCGCAGCGACCATCGCACCAATCAAATTCCCATTATTAATTACAAATAACGAATGAAGGTGACAAATGTCTTCATATGAATTTTCAAATCACCCAACTCTTGGATGCGTTAACAAAACTGCGCTTTCAAACGTGGTTATTCCCGTAACTTAATGTTTTAGCTACAATTCTCTGCGTAATTTTCTATGTCTTTGTATATTATTTATGATATTTTATGAAGAAGTTTTATGGTCATGATGTTTTATAGAACGTAAGAAGTGTTGGATTTCGGCTTTTATGTTTAAAAACCTATTTTGTCTTTTCAAATTGATTATTCTAATATTGTGACAACGTTAATAACATTTAACATATTTTTTATTTGCAATTTGCATGCTTAATAAATTGATTAAATACCCCACGGAAAAATGCAGGCTGAACGTCGGTTAGCTTAAATCGTGAGTTTATTTAAATTAAAAAGACTGTCGTGGAATTCTTTTTTAGTCTCGAAGATAGCAAGTAATAAAAAAGTTTTATGAGGATGGCAGTCTAGCGTAGATTATCTCGGATAGTGTATCATGAAGTGGATTGTATTTTGTTCTTCTCTAAAATTTTGTAAGGATCTGAAGTTTCTATTTGAATATCTTTGATAACAATATTCTTTTTAACAAAATAGCTTTATCACCTATAGTCGGAATCAATAAGATCTTCTTGCAATTATGTTTGTTTTATATAAATAGTAACAAATAGTTTGGACTTCATAGACATTCCGAGTTTCGTTATAAACTTAAAGATACTTTATTGTATATTATGCATTTGTTATTCAATAAATTTGATTTTTTTAAATGTAGTTGTTATTAAGGACTGCAGTGGCTTCAGCTTAATATCTGAATTGGATATTTAGTAAATCCATAATTGAACATCATTTTTCCAAGCATCCTTATTTACAATTTATCAACGGAACTAAATTAGCGCCGAGTTAATGATTTGATGAAGAGTTACAAAAAAATGTCTGAAATCACGCAATAGATCATACTCTTTGCAATCATTCAATACTTCTTTGCTCTTTGTATAAATTACAAAAAATGTCAACTGCCAAAAAAACTATTTCGTTGATTGTCAAAAGATTGTCACTTGTCAGTTCAGTGGTAATAAATTGATAATAAAAATCAATGTTTTGCATTAGGATTTTTTATTCAATATTAAAAAATTAAAATATTAAAAAAGGAATGAGGGAACCATAAAGTACCAACGTTTATCTTAAATGTCCAATACTAAAAAGTATAAAGTGTATACCTCCGATTATTTTTATTTAAAATCCAGTGCTTAACTACTATAAAAATAATGCAGTAAAAAGGTCACTGATGTGAGGGCATAATGTTAACTGCAATTTCCAAACGGTCTCCTTCAATAGTGAAATAAAAACTGTGTTTTGGTTTGTAATGATATATAAGTGAGAATGGATTTCAGTTCTCTTAATCCTACAACTTCTAATGCGCTAAATTTAGCAGCAAGGAACAATGATGTGGAAAAAGTTAAGAGACTTCTTAAGAAAATCAACCCTAACTGCGTTGATAATAGAGGTTGGACTTGTTTGCATGAGGCTGCCGCTGCCGATAGCTATGAAAGCCTGTTGATTATCTTAAATCATCCTGATTGTCGGCACTTGGCTGAAGACCATGAAGGGTGCACTGCACTACAAGTCGCTTGCAGTAACGGTGTATCCATAAGAACTATAAAAGCACTCTTAGACCATGCACCAGATATAGCAAACTATGGAACCTATGAAAATGTAACACCATTACATATTGCAAGTTGCCAAGGCAATTTAGATCTAGTACAATTACTTGTAGACTATGGTGCTATGCTAGATGTGCAGGATTTTGATGGGCACACAGCATTACATGGTGCTGTATTAGCTAAACAACCTGAGGCTGTGAAAATATTATTATGTGCTGGAGCTGATCCTGAAATCCGCGATGAATCTGACTTCACAGCATTTCATTTTGCTTGCTACAAAGGTTGCTTAGAGTCTGTAAAGGCTTTGTTGCCATATGTAAATAATATAAATCAAGTATCAGTGAATGGGGATAGTCCGTTAATGCTAGCTGTTATAGGTGTTTGTGATGATGTAGTGTCATATTTAATAGAAGTGGGTGCTGATATACATGTTAAAGATGTTGATGATGATATGGCATTGAATATAGCATTAAAAAGTGGGCACAGCTCTATATTTAAAGAGCTTCTGTTTGCAACTGATAGAGATAAAATAAACAATGATATTATACTTTATGCTTGTAAGCCACATTACTTAAAAGTTGATATTCTTGAAACTTTGCTAACATTTGACTTGGGACCAAAGTTCTATGACTTAGTGGAGCCTTTCCATGTAGTATTAGAGAAGATTGGCAACATAAGGCCCACCTACCTAACCAGCGCTCCGCTGAATTCATACTTAAATATATGTGAATATATTTTTCAAATGTCACCGAAAAGGTTCGAAGAATATTTCTACATATTTCTCTCAAATGGGGTTTCAGTCAATGCAATAAATATAAATGAATGCCCTCCACTTGTTTACATACATTATTCAACACATTCAAGTTGTTTTACAGAGGTAAGTAGATATTTTTGTGTCAAGACTTTTTGTTATAGAATGGGTAATGTGCCTTGAGGCTATCTTCACTCTCATTTTGCTTGCAAGTTGACAATTAAATCGCATAAACTTTTGTTAGACAACAAAAATGGCAAACATACAGTTTTTCTAATGATGATACAGGTTTGTGTCAGTGTAGTTATTTTTGTTGACAACTTGTAGTATGGATGAAATTACAACTTCAAAAACATAGTATATTTTATACAATGAAACTATTGACTCAAAGTACTCTATTCTAATACCTTGAAAAATATAAGTAATTATATGGGTCTACATAATTTGTGTTTCTGCAGGTTTTCAATATACTTTGTGGGCATGGTTGCAATGTGGATTATTGTACTACCAATTTACCATCAAGCAAAGAATGGTGTATTCCTGATGCATTTGTAGCATCGCTCACATCAAATCCAAGTACAATACCAGTAATGTTGCCATACAGTTTGGCCTGTGATCCAGATATTCTCTTAAAATTTGCCTATAAAAATAATATACTGCCAAGAATACCAATACAGGTAAAGTATTTGATTTATTAATAAACTAGCCATATGTGTTGTAGAATAAACATGTTTTTTTGCTTTATTGAGTGCACATTCAAATTGCAAATAAACAACTTACTAAACATTATGCTATGGAATTTATAAAATATTTTACTTTTGCTTACATCTAGTTTTAAGAAAACTTTAAGCTAGTAACTGTTTTGTTAATGTATTTTTATAATTAGTGCATAACCAAAATCCCCTTAATGTTAAAAAGTTATTTGGTCTAACAAGTGGTCATAAGATGTCAAAATTTTAATGTATTTGGACATCAAGTCTTTTTTATGTAGCCATAGTGTGTACATACATACTTGTTATACATACATATACACATATCTTAATTTTCAGTGTTCAGTCAAAAGTTTGTTAATGTTTTCTCATGTGTTTCAAACATTTCCTCGATTTTTTAGGTTCAAGAGTATTTACTAGTCTTAATAGGTGTGGATTTGGATAAAACTACAGCTGAAACATTATCATGTACAGTGTTGCCGTTGAAGCATTTATCCAGAGTAAAGATTAGAGAAACATTAAGAAATCAATTAGGTAACAAATTATCAAGTCAATGTTACCTTGAAGTTCTAAACACATTAAGAGTACCACAGATTATTAAAGAATATTTACGCTACAAATAATTTTAAAATGATAATTACGTTTTTGTTATTAATTTATTTAAGAAAGTGTGATAAAATGTGAACGATATAAAATATCAGTAAAAAAATGTTTTGGTACATGTGTTTTATTTATTTCATCAAAAACAATACATAAAATTATAAAAAAAAAACAGTACGTCTATATAACATGGATAATATTAATGATTTCATAATATAATATTTCACTTATTTAAAATTGGCACCACCAGCCATGAATTCTTCGATTTCGGTAACTCTGAAAAAAAAAGTTAATAATAGTTGAAATAGAAGTTGCTAAGCATTGAAAAGTATTTTTATGTCTATTAACCCATCTATTAATCAACATTAATAAAACGAGAGTTTTTTAGATCATTTTAAACTAGTGTCGATTTTTATGTAAGATGGTTGAGTGAATTTCGAAATTTTTTTTTTTTAAAGATGGGAGGGGATTTTTTTTGACATTGGCATTAACTAGAGTTACCGATAAAGAAAATTTACAGTATTGTCCTCTACAAAATTTACATTTGATTAAAGATAATATACTCACGTCCTGGGAACGCTAGTGAGGTCTTCAATACCAGTGTCTGTGATGAGCACATCGTCTTCAATGCGAACTCCTCCGAAGCCTCGGGACTTGTTCATCCTCTCCCAGTTAAAGAATCTCGCTTGAGCTGGATCATTCTGTGCTTTGTCTAACAACTGCGAGTGGATACAAGTATAAACATAAATATAGTGCTTTAATATAAACAGATTTCACTTGATCTTAATATAAAAAAGGAAATAAAACCTTGTTTCAATCGCATAAAAACCAATTTTACTTGTGATGAAATCTGCTCTCTTATATAAATATTTCCTAAATCGAGATATTAAATACAAACTCTACTGCAGACTGAAGGTAATGAGTAGGATTTGTACTGAAAGAAAACCCATTGGGGGTCACTTTATAATATAACTGGGACCCCTTACCTCAATGCATAATGATGCATTTATACATCAGTCTTTTCTTTGTATTTTTTTTACTTTATTTTCCCCTAATCTATGTTCAATTTACTACCCGTTTCAATTTATGGTATTTAAAAAGAAAAAAATCACGCATTTAAAGCTTAAATGGGGGTCAGGGTCACCTTACCTTAGGTATGAAATAGCATCCAGGTTCCACAGTGAGTACCATCCCTGGTACCAGAACACGTGCTGTCCTGAGTCGTGCCAGTGGTCCAGTGGGGCGTTCAGGACAGTTGGACAAGTAGCCGCCCACGTCGTGTACGTCTAACCCTAACAGGTGTCCGAGACCGTGCGGCTGCAGTACTCCGTTCACACCCGCCTATAACGAGTTAATGTGGACATTAGTTTATTTCTTACTAATATTAAAAATACGAAATGGATGGATGGATGTTTGTTAGAGTAAATAGCTTAAATGGAGAAACGGTTCTCTATGTTATTTGGCATAGCTGCAGAGGATAGTCTGGAAGAACATATAGGCTACTTATTTGTGTATTTTTTTATTACTAGTATTTAAAAGCTAGTAATATTATAGCTGCAAAAATTTAGATGGATGGAGGGATGTTTGTTTGAACATATATCCGTAATGGCTCAACAAATCTAAATAATTTGGCACAGAATTAAAACACATATAGTAGAATACATAGACTACTTATAAAGTTTGTTTTTATTCCTAGTGGAGGGAGTCGCAGACAAAAGGTAGTAGTGTAAAGTCTTACCTCAATCATATCTTCTACATCACCTTTGAGCAGTTCTCCTTTCTTGAGATGCTCCAACATCGCTCTGTTGGCCGCCAGGTGCATGTCGGGCCACCTCACGCCCGGCTTCGCTTCTCTACGATTACAGACATTTTAATAATAAAAACAAAATGTACAATCTTACTTATATTATAAATGCGAAAGTTTAGATGGATAGATGTTTGTTGTAGTTTTTAGCCTAAACGACTGAAGGGATTTCGATGAAATTTAGTATAAATGTAGAGGATAGTCTGGAAGAACACATAAGCTACTTACTTTTGTTTTTTTTTTAATTCCAAGTGGACAGAGTCGCGGGCGAAAGCTAGTAAATGATAAGGGAAATATCCTATTCGTGTACAATCGGGGAAACTTGCTATATACCACCTTAAAAGCTACAATCGTTTGAACATTTTGAAACGAGACGCAGAACAAAATTAGAATCAGACGATAGTCTGGAAGAATACATTTGTTTTTCTTACTTCCACGCGGACGGAGTCGTGTGCGAAACTTTGTAATACATAATTTAAACAATATAACCTGAATACAGCGTCCCTGGCAGCCAGCACTGCCTCGTAGATGAGTTTCTGGTCTTGAGTGAACTTCCCGTTAGCGGGGAAGGAGCAGGTGATGTCGGCCGCGTAGCCCGCGTAGTTACCGCCCATGTCGAACAAACTGCAATCATATATATACAGTTAAAAAAGTTATTACTAACTTTTGCTCGCTGTCCGCGTGGAATTAAAAAATAATACATAATATAGCCTATGTTACTTACAGATAAATTACCTTACTAATGGTGAAGGAATTTTTAAAATCGGCCCAGTAGTTTTTGTGTGAATCAAAAACATAGAAAAATACAAAACTTTCATTAAAATATTAGTATAGACTAGATTTCGCTCGCGACTCTGTCCACGTGGAATAAAAAATAAACAAAATACATACAATTGATAAAACTACTTCAAATTAAACCATATTTATGTCACCTCTAGCCTTCTTTGTTATTCTGGTCTACTTTTTTAACTTTATTATAAGTAAATAATAAGAAGGGGAACGTTGCTGGAACATAAACCATAGAAGGAGAAATATTCTCCGTACTTTACAGATAAGACAAGTAGAAGGTAGCGCTGTCGAAGACACACATAGCGATGTATTCGCCATTTCAGCGAAATACTATGCTTTCGCCAATCTGGCGAAAATCTAAGTTTCGCCATTTTGGCGAATCGTGATAATAATTTTTACTTTCAATAGCAGTTGACTGACCACATGTCGCCATCCCGCAGCATCTTGCAGTTGGGCGCGGCGGCGTGGCCGTAGTGCAGCACGGCGGCGTTGTCTCCGGAGCCGCAGATGCAGGTGTAGGAGACGTGCCGGCAGCCGCCCGCGCGGTAGCAGTGCTGCAGGAACACCGCCTCGCACTGGTACTCCATGCGCCCCGGCCTCGCGTACAGCATCACCTGCAAACAAACATTATAACTTTTCTTTATAATATAAGGTGGCAAACGAGCAATAATAAAAACGAATCGATTTTTGACTTTTCGACCTTGAAGAGCAAAGAGATACTTTGTTGTTTTTTACGTCGAAGTGACATCTGAGCGTATGTTATGAATGGAATATGACGATTGACGTCAATTGTCTCATTACAACTCGCGTTTTAGTCGCTTGAAAATGGTCGTAATTTCATTTCATTATTTTTAGCTCAATGGTTGAATGTTTTCGCGTCATTTTTTTTCTGGTTATTTTATAACAAGTAGAATCGTTTAAAAAAAGAAAAAAACACATGGATATTCCCTATTGCAGATGAGTTGCCTACCTTTCATTGACGGAGGAGGAGACACACATAAATAGGATATTTCCCTTATGCGTCTCCTCCATTGTCAAATCCACTGCTTTTAATAAACGGCTGTTTTTTAAACACTAGCTGTTGCTAGCGACTTCGCACACGTGAAAATAAAAATAAAATGCATTAATATTAAAAACAGACATGTTTGTAATTTAAATAAAACAAATAACAAATTAAAACAAAGTTACAAAACAAACCTAAAATGATATTATCACCCAGAAAATTTTTAAATATAATTTCTTATTTCAGTTAAATTAAACTATGCAATTATATTACACTGGACAGAAATACCACATTTCATGCAAATTTTTCGCCCATATGGCGAATGTTGGTTTCAACAATATTTGAATATTATACATTTTTACCACAAACTTCAAGCTTATTGAAAATGACCAATAAAACTTTTGACAAATTCATATAATGTATTACTTACCTCTTTATGTGCGTCGGAGGAAACTTTACAAACGTAGCGCATAACCTCTATCTCTTCGGGAGTTTTTATAACGCGTCTGGAACATACATAAAAAAAAACAATTTCATAATATGAAGATTTTAATAATTAACATAACATATGGTAATACTCAAATTTCCCTTTTTTCAAAATAATCTATTTTTTACATTCTCATATCGTATTTTTAAAAATATATTGATAAGATTGAAAAAAATGTTTTGTTTGTGTAATTATGTTCAAGAAAGTCGATTACAAGCGACATTATCTTATTTTATCATGCAGTTGCTATAAAAGATATCTTAAACTTATCTGATTAAAAAAAATATATTTAAAATAAACATAATTAGTTGATCTCAATATGGGATTGAAAATTTCAGAGTTATGACAAAAAATATATAAAAAAAAACAAAAGCCTATGTGTTCTTCCAGACTATGCTCTACATCTATACCAAATTTCAACGAAACCTGTTCAGCCGTTTAGGCTAAAAACATCCATCCATCTAAACTTTCGCATTTATAATATTAGTATGATTTTTATCACTCTATCCTTTTCTAACACTATCTATCTCTTTCTTTCTATCCCTTATATTTAATACCATATATTTATGAATATGGGTAACAAAAAAAATACTTACAACTCTGCGATAATAGGAAACAACGTCTCATTATCAACTTTGAATCTGCAATTGAAAACATTTAAAATGTTAATCTCAAGTTCTCAATATTACATACAGCCTTGTGTTCAATGTTTATTATATAAGCATACATTTTATTTCACCAGTGAGTTTCCATTGTAATACATGTATAAGAACATTTGTTTTCTCTAGATACTTACTCATCAATTCCCTCAAAAACCGCTTCTTTAGCTGTAAGTCCACTGTCAGTGTTTGGTCCACTCTGAAACACAAAATAAACAATCTGTGTAGTTTTAAAACACATTATTATAGAAAACTAAATCTATATATCAAATTACCTAATTCTTATCCTACATTGAACAACATTTATTTTTAAAATAGAATTATAATTAAAAGTTAAAATCAGATCAAATTAAAAGAAGTATTGAAATCAATGCTAAACATTTTTTGAAGAAATACCTAAAGTGAAAATAAATACACAGACAACATATTTTATATGTAAAAAATAGATATATCTTGCATGGCTTGTGGCTAGGAAAATTCCTGTGGTTTATAGATAAGGTAATAAAAAGGTAATAAGGTCACAAACAGAAAATTATATCAAGTATGCACAAACAATAAACATAATACTCACAAGTGTCAAAAGTACTTCAGGATTCAATTGTTTTAATATATCTTGAAGCTGAAACGTAGATTAAATAATATTGAAACACATAAACCTTGTAAAGGTAAATAATACTTTATAGGCAAATAAACTCTATCATCGAATAAGTTTATTGCTTGGATTATTTACTCTAAGATATCAACCTCTAAAAATTACAACCTTTAGAAAATAGAATAGAATAGAGAGCTCTAGACCTTCTCAAACATTTTTTTTATAGAAAAAGCCGACAAACGAGCAGCAGATCGCTCGATATTAAATGATCCGACGCCCATGAACATCTGCAACGCCAACTGCAGATGCGCTTCCAGTCTTTAAGGGAGGAATACTCTCTTTTCCTAAAGGCCCCTAAGTCATAACTGTTTGGAAAGACCGCTGAGGACATTCCTCTATTCTGTGTACTCTAGAATAATTTGTATGGAATAAAATGTTACTTCCATGTACCTCATCAACATAATGAACTTCTTCGATAGCATATATTTCCTTGAATTGTTGGCATGTGAGGAGCTTCCCCATCCAGACTTCATACTCATCAGGTAACCTCGGTACAAACAGGTGACCTTTCTTGGTGGTAACATCTAACGCAAAATAGCAGCCGGGCTCTCTAACACCACATATCCATGTGAAATATGATTCCTGAAATGTATGGAATAATTTGCTTTCGCCCGAAACTTCAACTGCAAAGAATTAAAGTAGCCTATACATTCTTTCAGACTATGCTCTACATCTATGCCAAATTTCATTTAGGTCCATTGAGCTGGCTTGGAGAAACAGTAAAAACATCAATTCATTTATACAAAGTTTTGCATTTATAATCATTTACATAAAAGAATTTTTCATGTTTTTTTTAAAACTATCCATTGTGTGACACATTTGATTTTAATTAAGGAAATTAATTTTAGTTTAAACTTTGGCATTAAACTAAAATTGAGACACCTGTAAAACTTGACTCAGAACAAGTATTGCATTAACAGGTAAATGGTAAATAAAACTGAATACATAAATGTATGCAAATAGAAAGACTTGACCCACATGCATGGATATATCTGAATAGCTTAAGTTAATTTTAATTTCAAACTGGTACAGCTACTAACTTTGGCAAAAATTACATGAGTTAAAAATAACTTAAACTAGCTTTCACCCGCGATTCCGTCTGCGTGGAATTAAAACAAAAGTGAGTAGCCTATGTGTGTCTTCCACATTATCCTCTACATCTATACCTAATTTTATTGAAATTCGTACAGCCATTTAAACTACAAACTCAAACAAGCATCCATCCATCCATCTAAATTTTTGCATTTGTAACATTAAGATTAAAATATATTTCTAATATAAATAAATTGTGATAATATGATGTTAATGATGGGAAACTTTTTTAAATGTTTTAATTGACTAGAGGAAACGATTAAACTCTTGTACTCCAATTTGATAAGTTTTCACTGTGGAATCTATTAATGGATTTACAAAGATAACATGAAAATCGGCCCAGTAGTTTTTGCATGAATCAAATACATACAAAAATACAAATCTTTCCTCTTTACAATATTTGAATAGATAAAATAATCAAACCACATACCTGTCTAAAAACATATTCTACATCTGTATCATAATGATTTATACTATCTCCTCCTTGTAGAACAACTATTTGACCTTTTTTTAGTGTTTTCGACAACCTCTCGCGGTTTTTAGCGAATAAAGATAGAGGTACTTCATAAGTTCCGGGACCCATAGACCATGTAGTCGTCATCGTGTCTGCAAGTACACTGGTATACTAATACACTGGAAACTTGTATTTCACGTTATCTACGCGATAAAATTATACCGAACAATGTAGTAATTACGTGACACACGTCAATACCAATTGAACATTGTTAATAGCTGTAGCTTATTTACGTATATATATTGGGATTGCTGTATTTGTCACTTGCTAGCCCATTGTGATATTACACAAACTCATAGTGGTATAATTAACATGTTTTCAGTGCTTTGATTAAGTTTTGTTTTAGGAAAATTTATGAAACCTTGTTCTTGATTCTTGGTTCTTATAATTGAAGTCAGCTTTTTGTTAAAATCAGATTTGCATTAAATAAATCATTGTTTTATAACATGTATAATAATACATTTTTTATTTTATTGTTATGGTTTGTATGACATTGACATTTGATGACAAGTCATAAGATGAATGATAAAGAGTAGAATAATAAAGGCAAAGAATAACTTCTTGGTGAAAAAACACTTTTTGCACAGAAATAGCTAGCCAGAAGCTATTCGAGAAGATATTAGCCTTTACTTGACTAGGGACTTTGTGTGGAACTGAAGAAGATTCTAGTAATAAATAAAACATATTTTACTTAGTGATAATGTAGCTTTCTAATAGAGAAAAGACTTTTTAAATCAGCACAATATTTTCGAGCTAATACATTGCATAACAAAATAAATCTTTACATTTTATAATATTAGTATAGATAAATTATTAGAATATGTTATATTACCTAAGGTTAAATCTCTAATGTTGCTTGAGACTTCCATGCTACGGTCTTCACTTCCGGGAAGAGCATTTAGAATAGTATGAGCTAGATGAGAGAGATTTGTAACTTTATCAAAAAGTCTTAACTTAAGATAATCAAAAATGTAAAATAAATATTAGACGTACTTCAAATAAGACCATTATAAATATTAGCTTTCCCTATGCCATGCTAAATCATCACTTGGCGATTCCTATGTTTGCTAGGACAGGTGTGGCGAACATTTATGCATCAAAGTGCCATTTTTTAAATAAATGTTTAATTAATAACATGCCCAAAATATTATATTTTGTGACATTTATGGAATGCATGCCAATGATTGGCCACCCCTGCCCTAGGTTTTTCTTTTCCATGATAACAAAGAGAGTTTGAAAAAAGGTTGTTTCTTCAGCCCTGACTATTGAGTGTTCGGATTCCCCAGCCAGTGACAGTTTTTGATAATTTCTTTTTTAAATTTGTAAGATATACTAAATATGTAAATAAAGATACATAGACAGGTACGAAAATACAAAACTGTTCTCAAATTAGCTTACCAGGTAAAAACAATGATGGTATTGCTAACACATTGAGACGACTACTCCTGGTTCTATCTTTTTGAGTGAAATGTCGGTCACATACTCTGTATTTTTTATAATTAAAACTATAATAGTTTTCATTACCAGTTACGATTTTGACCCAAGCTTTATATTGTTCAAAAAATTTGTTGGGATTTGGGAATGTATGAAGCAATCCACCTGGAACAAAAGTTAATAAAAAGTCTTCTAAACTCAGAAAAGTCCTAATTGATATTCCTAGTCATGTTATCAAAATCATTACAGAACTAAATAAAATAATTTAAAGCTTTTACAACTTCTATATCCGCTATATCCACAAGTTTTAAGAAGTTAAATTAAGTTTATAAACTTTTACCGTCCCAATTTTGGGCATCTTTTATTGGGAAGGGATAGGCTTATGCACACAATGCTGGCTTAAGGTTGCTTAGTATAGCTTATTGTTTATAAAATATTTTACCCAAATATACTGAAAATACTTGCGTGCAACTAAGCAGATAAGTTGAGATACAAAGAATTGATAAAATTTCATGCATTTGTATCTATTTCTAGGCACTCTTCACAGGCTACTCTTCTCATATTGAGTAAGGGTAAAAGTAAATAAATTTCTGATAAACAATTATGTGTTCTAATGCAATCAACTTAAGTCTTCAGAAGTGACGATGGCTGTGGCTGTTGGCTTAGAATTAGATGTATGTGGGATGCGGGCCCGTTTTTTTTAAAATAAACAAAAACACTCGAAATTGTCTTATTATTGTGTACCTACGTGTTTTTGGGGGGCATCCTAATGCACAACGCCTCGGCATCGTTAAATATCCTACAAAAATTTAAACAACTCTAGCTTATGTACAAATGCAATAAGCGACTTTTCGTATAAATAACTCTCACAAAATTAACAAAAATAAAGATAGGCGAAGCTATAACTCAACGCACTTATTAAAGAATAACTTAGAAGCCACAAAATAGAGAAATATTACAATACATGGACGTGAAGCTTTCAAAAATCAACAGAAAAGGCTGTCAACTTGTCAACAAACCTAAAATATCCCACATGGTGACATCTGTGACATGTTTAAGAAACTTAATTATCAAATATTGTAACCGGACTTCTATCGAGTATAAAGACAGATGGCGTTACTTTCTTTGAAGTGAAAGAAGAAAATTTTTTTTGAAAATACAATCTAATTTTTAATCCAGTTTTAAAGTTTTGGAATGAGACTTTGTACAAACATGTACAAAAAATTTAACGAAATAATTCAACGAAGATATCTCCCAGCGTCAGAGACGTGTTTTACTGTTGGTTAAAAATGGTATTGCGTTAAATTATTTACATTATACTACTTACCGATAGAGGTCGTTAAAAACAATTCAAAACGTAGTACAAATTTACATGTGTTATGTTGTGTAGTTACTTACATTTAGTAAAGTTTCCTTAATAACGGTCTCCAGAAAGTGTGAAATATGTATATTTGTCTTTTCCATCATTAAAAAGAGATGTGGGGCGACGGAACTCCTTACTCTCTGCAGGTCAGTATTCTTTGTTCTTAGTTATACCAAAATTTGAACATATTTTGAAATAAACTATTTAAAAGTTCTTATTTGTCTTTAAACTAAATCGGTTGTGGCCGCCAGAGGACTCTGTTTTTTAATAATTAAATGTCTACATTGTGGCTGATTAGTCGTTTATACTTCAAAAAATGGGCTATTAAAAAGATATGAATGAAATATGAAACAACAAATTGAAATTAATTCATGAAAATATAACCGGTATCTTCACTAACCATGTAACACAAAATTTCGGATATTTCCGGTTGAATGTTCATGTATGGTCCAGTAGATCTATGCTATAAGTAGATTTATTGATCTTTTTAGTAATAGTTCTTTATTTGATATAGTTTGAGAAAGTATGAAATATCTTTTATTATGTATTTTTTAACCGTACATACAAGAGTCGTTTAATCTTTATTTAACAGTCATTTATAGGCCACATGGCCTATTTCATGGATGCAATTGTACATACATGTTAGAAATAAAAAAAATGGCACCAGGGTATCATATAAACAAGTTGCTCTTTGAAATTCATTCCATTTATTAGATAACTCTTTATTCTTATCTAAATCACAAGATCGACGATAAATTAAACTATCTAGAAATCACAAAAATGCACTAAAACATGCACACATGTAATATTACATTGATTTTATACCCATATCGATATTGTTGTACATAAAATTGTTGATGTACTACAGAGAAGGATAGGTATTCAATTAATTAAAAAATTGCCTAATAATAATAAAATTGCCTAAGTAAAACAAGTAGGTATTTGACGTTCACATTTCGAACGTGTGTCATAACCTCTTCATATCGCATTTGTGCGATCCAATTTTCCCTATACTATACATACTCAACATGCGAGGAAGTAACTGTACTAAAAGCAGTTCATTACTGTTATATCTACAATCACTTCATAAAAACAGTTAACTAAGTATTTCATCTCTGGAAAGTAAAAACGACGTTAGAGAAACATGTTGCGATTGACATTGAGGAATAAACTGTTTTATAGCATACAGTAGTATTTGCGAAGTATTGAGTATAATATTTTCTTAATTAAATAGGTACATTATGCGTAATACAGTAACAATGACTTTCTTATTGAACAGTTTTACGTTCAGAGACATTAAACTATAGTTAAAGCTCACAAATACTTTACATTAAAATTAATAAAATTAATTAATGATGGAAACGTTTCCGTACAACAAAAGGTCACTTAAAATGATAAATTAATTTAATTTGTTATACAGGAGGCATAACAATACTAACCATTTGTTACGTCATTCAGAACTTTGAACAGTTAAGGTCACTATAAAACGAAGAATAAATATTATGATTGTAGAGTACCGGCGGCCATTTTGGTTCGTTCTCGTGATTCGTGTCGTGCGTGACACGTCATAGCCGGCCATCTCGCTCTCGCATGCTCTCCGCATATAGCACCATTGTAACCCGACACTTTTTTTACACAAGCGATTTCACAACACGTTCCACACTTTCACAACTAAAATGTTTATTTCAATATAAATAATTAAGAATCTACGGATATTTCATGACACGGTTGTTTTTTTTCTTGTAATCTTCTGACAGCCTCGGCGACAAGGGCGCGTTGCTCCAATAACCTTTCTACTAGATCGACAGGTTCTTGTTTTCTAATGTAGTAAGGTGCAGCACGAGCCCGAGCTTGCAGGTGGAGCTTTTGTTTGAGGCCAAGTGTCAATTCTTCTATAGCCGGTAATCTGGTCGAGTTTAACGGACGGCCCTCTTCTTGAACAGTATTACGATTGTCGTACCTAGTACTCTCTTTCAACATAGCGTTGAACGTGTAGTCGTTTATTGACAAATAAATAATCTGCTTCACGGATGTGACGGCGCGCAACAACGTTTGCGAATGTCGAATGAATGAGCGAGGCAAGCGAGCCAAGCCAAGCCGACCCAGCGTAGGAATCGCGGGGTTGTGCGGGGGCCCCGAGGGGAGGGGTATGACGTAGACAGATGCGCAGTCGTGCCGGGCTGTATACAAACAATACGATGGACGTAAATAAACACAAGATCGAGCCGACACGCCTGTAATTCGAACGGTGTTATCTTTGTGTTGGTAGTGCGGCCATCGTCGTTCGATTTGACCGGCGCGCCGCGCGGACGGAACGAGTTTTACGTTGGGAACGATTCTGAAGCAGGTGGTCGATACAAGCAACTTTTATTTAGGTTATGGTTGTTGTTATTGTTTTATCTGCAACATGTTATTGCTGCTCTAATGTTAAATTAAATGAAGTAAGGTAATTAGGTGATGTTAACTGGTACTAATGCAGTCATTGTTTTTATAGCTATTATCTCTATTTATCTTTCGAAGTTTGTATGTGGTTGTTTTAATCAATAATCGAGACGGATGTATTATAGTGTATCGCAATGAAATATGTTTGATATAACTTGTTACTGTTTTCGTATTTGACAAACAAAAAAACAAGTATTGTCGAATTCGGTTACAATGTATTACATCAAGGATTTTAACCACTTTTCCGGGTATTTTATATATAATCTATAAACATGTGTTTTGATGGAACTCACTAAGTTTAGTTTTACGAACTTGATCTATTAAATTATTTGTTTCGACGGAATCCTAAATGTGGTCAGTGGCGTAATTTACACTGTTTTGACTGTGCCATTCTTTTGATTTCCTGACAGAACGACTGCTGTCTGTCCATAAGAAAATTAAAAGTGTCGTTAGTGTTTTGTTTGATCTTTCTTTCTTTTATTAATCAGCCTTTCTAGACCTTTTAGTACTACTAAAACTAATGGTTCTTACAATTTTTGGGGCCTCTTAGTTCTTAGGTGAAATTTGCCAGTAACAATGCTAGACCCCAATTATCAATGCCTCAAGTGCTAGTCGGAGTGACTTGCAAACTGTGCATTTTCAAGTCTAGTTTATCTAATTGGGTAATTCTTTTAGTTCGCTTTATTGCTTATTGCTTATAACAAGACATAGTTTTAATTTGGTTGGAAGGCGAACAAAAAACATATAGTATAGGTAATTAATTGTTAAACACATCTTTCATTTTCGAAATACCATATACAAATATCATCTAATTTTGTAGGATTGGTTCATATAGGTGATTTTTTTGGTAAATTAAGTCTAAAATATTATACGTGTGTCCATTTATATTGTACGGGACATTAACATAATTTACATACCTAAGAAGAGCTACAGGTACTCATTGAATAATGATCTCTACGACTTGTAATAACAAGTTTGACAAAGTAAACTCGCTCTTAGGCTGTGTACATTTAATGTCGTTAATTGTCTTAACTCTGTTAACGTCGATCATTCTAGTGTTGAGTCGCATACGCATGTAGTTGTGAGTTGGTTGTCTTGCTAAAACTAAAAACGGCCAATGCCCCCAACATCGCATGGTTTTTTTCCTTCTGTTGTTCATTTTGTTATGACCTGTACGTTTACTTCGCAGACAGACATGTAGATTAGTATTTCATCGACAAGGTTAGATTATAGAAGGTTTTATTCGATGGAATATTACAGCAAGTCGAAAATTTGTAGCAGTTGAAATCGTATTGTAAACTAAAGGAATGTTGGTGTTTATTACTCGTTGCGGAGTATTACATTTTTATTAAAATTACTACTTACATCGTTTTTCGTAGCAGGTATTTTTTTATTTACTTCATTTCTAGTAACAACAATGACGGTGAGTGTAACTAGAGTCGTTGACTCCTAAATAGTGCGACCGTTGCAGAAGTACCTATATGTTTTTGTTATTCCAATAAAAAAAACTCTGCAACAGTAAAAACTTCGCTACTGTCAAGATTTATTTTGTAAATACGTTGCTGTGTAAATGATTTATTGATCTTTTCCTCCTTGACATAAAACCGGTAATAAAAATAACTAAATTAGATTATGTTTACTCATTATAATCGCTACAAAACAAAACAAACTTAAATCAAGGTTAGTAGTTCTTACAACAGTGTTATCATATACTAAGAATACATTGGTTTTTCCTCTCAATAATATCACAATGAAGACATTATGATAATGATTTTAATCGTTTTTCTATACAATTATAATTTTCATATAAGTCACTTATACCGATAAATCATTTTTTTATTATAAACTGTTCTGAAGATTTATTCTTGTTCTAATCGTTTCCTTTAGTAATTGACCTTCAAATATATTGATAAGAATATTTTTGGTCTGCTAGATAATCCCAACGCATCGTAAGTGATGCCTTTTACCACGTTTTCTGTTGTATTTTTAACTTCAATATTTGGTACATTAGTACGCCATCTAGTGATGAATAGCGTTATCTTCTAAATTTGATATTGACGCTTCACAACTATAGATGTCGCTATTCTACTTCTTTTATTTTAGGTTGATAGAGGTACTGATCTCTATTAATCGATAGGTCATTGATCGTAAATGTTAGGTTTTGTTTCGTTCTGATTAAACGCTATCTTTGAAGTTCCTGACAATTTATGTTTAATGTATTATTAGTCGACTCCTCACCACCGCTAGACCGCTACCAACCGAAACCGGAAGCGCCAAAATGGTGAAAATCAATTAGGCGCAAAATAGCATGGCTCATAGCCTATCCATTATAGAGGTCAGTGGACATAAGATAAAAAAATCTAACGACTTTTTACTAATTAACGTATAGTAGTTTAGTTAAATTCTTTTTCGGTTTAACTTAAAGAAAAAGGGCTTAAAGCTCAGTCATGGCAGAAAAATGTGTCGATTGTTATAGGCTACAGCGCCTGCAAATAATAAAAGGCAAAACAAAACTAACTTTATACATCAAATTTAAAATGTCGAAATACTAAAAATAGAGAAAAGTTATCCTTTTTCAACATGTCAATGACAAAAGTGCAGCTTGCGTTACAAATTCGATGACCTATTCATAAAAATGTAGGTATTCCTGATTTTGTTACAATTATGTCTGCGTTTACGTAACCATCAAAACAGCAGGTCAATTCGAGATTCAAAAGGAAAGTTGCAAGCATAGTGTTAATTAGTTGAAATCACAGGTTGCAATAATTTTGGTTATTTTTTAAAACATAAAAATGTATTGTGTCTATAATAAAATACAAAGTTGCTGATTTTATGCGATTTATTCTTCGTCATGACGTCTGATAGACTTAACCGTTCAAGAGCAGAAGCAGAAAATGTAAATAAGAAAAGTGTCTGCTTAATCCATCATGAGTTTCTGAGTAAGAAATCATTCGATTTTCTTTGGCTACTTGCTCAACTACTCGAGGAAGACATCGAGTACCATGCACGTACAATCACGACTTGAACATTCTTCGAGGCCAGGAGTGCGCGTCACTGAATTTGACTAGTGACTTTCCAAGTGACCTTTCTTTAGCTATTTGCGGATGATTCAACTGTGTTCGACTCATAATGTTGGTCAGTATTACCAGTATAGTATGTTGTCAATACCCATTATGTGGTCATTAATAAGTTTCTAGGCTAAAGAATTTCTGCAGGATCCGTTGTTAATGCAGGTGTTCTCACATTATATTGTTTTTCCACTTTTTTAACTATGTGACGTTAATGTGCTGTGGTATTTTTTTGTATCGTAAATATGGTGATGGCACGAATAGAAGCAGTATTTTTTAAGTTTAGAATCATCATCATAATCATCTTTCTCCTTATCCTACTCCCGTAAGGTCGGCATTCACATAACTCTATCATACGTCATCTCAGTCATCACTCCCTTTTTGTTTCGAATCATGACAGGGATTTTTATACCTCAGTTATAAATAGAATTTTCAAATTGATATAAACACTATTGTTGTTTTTAGGCTTGTAACTTTTTGCTACATTTTAATTTCCTGTATGAATCAAAACTATCGTAACGTTTTTAGATTTTATAGTAACATTTTTTGTGTATAAATTATAAGTGAAATAAGTGTTTTTTTCTAAATACATTTTATTTTTGCACTTAAGGGTATACAATGCAATCTTACTAACATTATAAATGCGAAAGTTTAGATGAATTGATGGATGTTTGTTCGAGTTTGTAGGCTAGATGGCTGAATGGTTTTCGATGAAATTTGGCATAGATGTAGAAAATAGTCTGAAAGGACACATTAACTATTTACCTATGTATTTTTTAATTCAACGCGGACAGAGTCGCGGGCAAAAGCTAGTTGTTAAATAAATGTTAAACTAAGAAGACTGTATTCTAGAGGCTAAGCGTCAGTGACATTGACACAAATGACTTTCTCTTTCGTGCTTCAAGAAACTTCCACGTTGTATCAGCATTAAAAATTATAAGTAAATTTCATAGTTTTTTATATGAGTGTAATGTTACAAAATTGAGGTGATTAGCAAAGTCGGTTATTCGGCCCTCTTGTTGTTACCTCATAATGATGAGTGGTAATCAAGTAGGTAGTTCTCTGGTGATGTGCATTGTTATCGATAGAAATAAATTTTTACTTCATGAAATATTTAAAGTTGTTAGATTATTTATTTAACTTAAGATTGAAGATATTATCGAAGATTGTAAATCTTTTTTTATTGGACGACTAGCTGTTCCCACGCGACTTCATCCGCATAAAATTATAGAAAAATCATTTTATTGTGCACCTTTGTCAAAATATCAATTGCAAATGTCAAAATGACATGACATGTCAAACCATGGCAAACTTTCTTCCTTGATATTGGCAACAACTTATGGTCCGTTTCCCACATTAGGATTTTTATCCAAAATATTTACCTCTAAGTTTAACGGCGTGAAAATATATAGCCTAAAGCGTGACGTAAGTGTAGTGCTTTTGATTAAAAAAAGAATTATTCGAAAATATGGTGTAATTGATGACATCTTAGGCAACAAAGAAGTGTGTGTTTACGCTTTATTATAATAGTATAGATTGTAAACAAATTTGAGGGGCTTGAGCTTGCGACTTTTTTCAGTTATACCATAACTTCCGTATAGGATTTGCCATTTCCTAAAATTTAAGCAAGTCTGTAATATTTCTAACATAAAGATAGATTAGTCATTCACCTCGTTAGACTACGAAAGTAATTAGTCACATATGGATGGGTTAAATGAAATAAATTTCTTTTAAAATGTACAATTATTAGGTTTATCGAATAGGTGTTGTAACAACACTAAAATAATGTAGCGCGCACCGAAATGTCGAAAGAAAGTGAGCGTGCCGACCACTCGGCGTTCGACATCGGCAGTACGCTCCTACCCTGGCTGTACAGAACCCGTTCCTTTGCCTTTATTACTAAACGCATTACGCGCGTATCGAGTAAATTAAAATCATAGATAAAAATGATATAGTTTTAAAAAAGGAAACAGCACAATTTTTTTTAATAACTGGCCGGTAATAAAGTGAATTAAAAAGTGAAATTAAAAATGAGCCTCAGTGAAGAAAGTGGAGATAGGATACTGGCATCACGTCACGTCAGTCAGGAATTAAGTCACCACGAAAATAATGCGATGAACACGACTCTACTTTGTCATAACTTCACTTTGGAGCCAGATTTTATTTCCTATTTGACAGGTAATATATTTCATAATTTACGTTTTTTTACCTTTTACGTTATTGATACTGGTTGAGTAATAATACATTATTTTTTTCCTTGAAGTGTTATTTAATAATGATTGGTTTATTATCTTAACTTATTCGGAATTAGGTAAAGGTGCATTTTATTGTAACCATAAGCAGACTAGCCCAATGTCGTGGTCGTATTTGAATATTTTTAAAGTAAGTGTTTACCCATTTACTTGTAACTAACATAACTGTTAGTACAAGTTTTTTGACGGTAGTAAAATAGACATACTTACTTTAAGTTCTTTTTTGATCGGAAAGAAAAAAGATAGGTATTTCCAATATTTTATTGATTATTTTATTCGTGCATTTGCCACCATAAAATAGTTAAACACCTAAATTGCGACTAAATAAACAATACTACCGCATTCTTTTATATATCGTTGCGTTTCTATTTACAATAGGACGGAAATAGAAATGATTTTGGCACATCCTAACATGGGACATATGTTAATACTAATTATATATATTTTTGATTATGGTTGATATCGATATTGCAGATTAAAAATATGAGGTATTTTATTTAAACCTATAATTATTGTCTACTGAATAAAATCGCTACAGATACAAAGCTAACTAAAGACGCAAATACATACATTTGAACGAAACACTCGCTACTGCGTACCGTCGTTAAAATGCTGGAAATACGCATCAATTTAAAAAGTTCTCGCTGCTTCTGCAGTTTTATAATGATACTAACTACTACTATCTACTCCACGTCAATCCAGGAGGGGGGTAATGGGGGTCATGACCCCCCATGAGCTGGTTGGTCAAGAGCTTGAAAAAATATATTTACATATTTTTTTGACTTGACCACGACTAGGTGACCCCTCCTTCGTCAAAGCTGGATCCGTCCTTGCGCTACATTATATGTCGGTTCCAGATATAACAAAGACTTTATTTCTATTATCCACATTACCTAAATTCAGCCTAAAACACCGGAAGCGAACTTATTGTAATAAATAAATAAGAGAACTTAGTTAACTACCTTAGTGTCCTTAGCTTTCAGTATTATTTGAAACGCAAGGACTTCTATCGAATGTGGTTTGACCTTGAAAGTACCATGAACTCATAAATTATTGGCGTGGAACTGTGCTATTTTTACATTTATGCGCTTTACCTAATTACAAGTAACTAAGTCAGTTTAAGCTGCTTTTGGTATCAATCAAGTTAATATTAAAATACCCGCTGCTCGATTCCCTATTTCTTTTATCCTATAATTAATTTCAACATTGTAAATTAATCTGTTCAGTGACTCGTTTATTGTCGTCGCATGTGAAACATGCAATCAATTCCGGTTTAATTCTGGCTTACATGGTTAAAACCGGTAATGCATTTCAACTGCAGGTTCGAGGTTAGTCCTATGATTAACTGCCCATTTCTGAATTCGGCTCTTTAGGGATGTTTCGTCGGAAACACAATTTCTTTACCTTAAGACCCAGAATATATAATAGTTGTTGCTATAAGCTACTTTTTTGTTAGTTATTTATATATTATTTAGTTATTAATATTCTTATTCGTGTGAGATAAAAATTTGCGTTGTCTGTTGTTTGTTCAAGACATTCATTACGCAAGGCGACGGAGTAAGACCGACTTTTACATAACTCTGCGTAAGCAAAGACCGGTAACTGAGGTGCCATAGCAACGTTTGTTTCTTGTATACAGTACTTAAATTATCTGTTGAAAGAGGAAAGATTTATGATCTATTATTATTTGAAAAGCAAGCAAGAAGATAAAGCAAAGTGTAAAGAAAACGTCTAATGATTCTTTAAACTTAAGTCTTGTCAGTCGCACAACTGGTGTGCGATTGTCGATTGTTTCGCAGCTAATTCAAATGTTTAGTAGCGCAACTAAAAATCGAGTAATCTGCGCACCTCCATATAAGCTCAAAGGAATCAAAGCGCGACTAAACAGTTGTGCGCTAGTTTTGTCAAAGGTATGCCTTTTAAAAATATTATGACCGCAATGAACAATTTCATATAAAGGTCGAGGTGTCAGCGATCTGACGAAGTTTACCTTGACTCGGAAATGGATTAATGTTTACCCGTGCATAATATACGAGTACAACTTTTGAAGTCGAATTACTATATTACTTCCGTACTAAATAAACACTCAATCCATGGGTCTTTATAAAGCAGAGAAATATAAAGCTTGATAAGTAGTACGTAAAATAAAAAATTAACTTTATTCAGATAAATCTTACTTCTTACTAATATTATAAATGCGAAAGTTTAGATGGATGGATGTTTGTAAGAGTTTGTAGCCTAAACAGCTGAACGGATCTCGATGAAATTTGAAGAATACATAGACTTTGTTTTTTTTTAATTCCACACGGGCGGAGTCGCGGGCGAAAGCTAGTATTATAACATCGAAAGTTGAGATAATTGGATGGATGTTTGTTAGAGTTTGTGGCTAAAACGGCTGATCGATTATGGATGAAATTTGGCATAGACGTAGAGGATAGTCAGGAAGAACACATAGACTACCTCACTTTTGTTTTTTTTAATTCCCCGCAGACGGATTTGCGGGCGAAAGCTAGTAATAAATAAATAATAAAGCGTTATTCAGATGTCATGATCCTTGTCTTTATTGCGTAAAAAAAGTATTGCTTGACCAAAAACTTCGCATTACTTTTGTATTAGCCTTGACTATACCCCACGCACTTATTGCATTGAAAAACTGTAACAATTTGTTCCAATCCTTTGCAGTTCGCACAATAACCTTTTACAATGAGCTAGGCTTTTTTCTGTCAGTATTTCTATAGACAATTTTTTATTATAAAAGGAGGCAAACAATAAGTGACTAATTTTTTTTTGTAGCTTTACAACGACAATTTTTATTTACTGATGTATTTTACTACGGTTTTATACGGAGAAGTGTTATTCTTATATTTCACTTGAAGAATTGAAGTTTTACTTGAAAAATTTACACAAGAACCGGATTGTGATTGCCTATCTATTCTTTTTATTTGCTTAACACGTTTTGCATTTGATTTATTTGTTAGGCCACTCTATGGAATTTAGATAGCGATATTTTTGAGTACAAATATGTGTAGAGACAAATAGTTTCTTGTGCAAATAAAGTAAAATCTTTTAGCAACTACGAAACGATAAAAACGCTAGTCATTGAAGCAAAACTTAGCAATTGCTATTTAGCAATTTTACATAGCGGCAATAATTTCTTAATTCAAACTATCCATATTATAGTTAGACAACTATTGATGATGATGATGATGATGGATAGACATCCATCATCATCATCATCATCATCATCATCATCATCAACTTGCCCTTATCTCTTATGGAGGGTGCTTTTTCATACATCTCTATCAGCCGTCATATCTAAAACCACTCCTTTCTTAAGGATATCCCATACACACAATCCATCCATATCCATTCTTCGGTCTTCCTCTTCCTTTGTATTCATCCACATTCATTCTTAACACTTTCTGGTTTATGTCCCCATCGTCTCGTCGTACATGTATGGATAACAGTGGTGGTGTAACAGTGGACCACGCTAACCTCTTGCTTCTCAATTTCTCCACCACTGGCGCTACTTTCAAACTTCCTCTAATATACACATTCTTAACTTTATCCATTCTTGTCACTCCACACATCCATCTTAACATACGCATCTCAGTCACAATCTCCTTTCATCTGCAATTTTGGCGGCCCAACATTCAGATCCAATCCCAGTTGTCTATCCATAGAAAGAATTAGAATGAACACCTAAATATTCAGATATTCAGATTCAGACATATTACAAATGCGAAAGTTTAGATGGATGGATGTTTGTTAGAGTATATAGCCTAGCTAGCCTAAACTGCTGAACGGACCTCTGAAATTTAGCATTGATGTAGAGGATCATCTGGAAGAACACATAGGCTACTTAGTTCTCTTTTTAATCATACGCGGACGGAGTCGCGGATGAAAGCTAGTATTTAGATTAAATTGTTACCTTGTATTAGTTAAAATAAGTAGACAATTTCCATCAAAATATCGAAATGCTTAGTATAAGTTTCTTGATGTTATTTGTAGTTACTATGATTTTTTGTCAAAAATCAGGGGAAGTTAACTATTAGAATAAATGTGAGGTTATTAGAAATTCTTGTAATGTTAAGTGCGGTTGTTGTAAAGTAGGCCGTTGGGATATGTCGCAAGGCGAGTGGTCGCAGGCATCGCGTATGGTTGTGCAAAACTGAATGGAATTTCTATCAGACAGCGTTTGTTTGTGCTGAATATTTTACATATTACTAATATTATAAAAGCGAAAATTTAGATGGATGGATGTTTGTTAGATTTTGTAGCCTAAACGGCTGAATGGATCTAGATGAAATTTGGCATAGAGGAAAATCTGCAAAAACACAGGTTTTTTTTATACCACGAGAACGGAGTCGCGGGCGAAAGTTTGGTTATGATCGTTAGGTGTCACAGACTTGTACAAAAAATTTAGCATCCCTCTCATCTTAATATAACGAAATGGAGATGGAGATATGTTTTACTACAACCATTTAACGTTTTACAATAAAACATAGGTGTGTGTATGTGTATGTGTGGTGTGTATGTTTTTTGAACAGAATGTTTTGTTTTTTTTACTGCTTATTCAAGTTAAAAGCATTGGTGAAAAGTTAACAATTGAGTAATCATAATAATAACATGTCGTGCGATACTTAATTCACCTCCAAGGGCTAGGTATGTCATTTCTATAAAATTACACCGTTGGCCTTCTAATTAACCCTTAATAGCTACAATAAAGTAAATATAATGACTTTACTATATTAAAACAACATTGTAATAAAAAAATGCACGGATTATTCCTAACCTTAACCCGGTCTGTCCCCACCTGAAAATAGTTTCATCCGTCTTACATTTTAATCCCAATATCAGCAATAAGGTGACAGATAGAACCGTTATAAAATAAAACAAGCTCCAACCGGCCTCTCGTCACAAAAGGTGGGACGGATTACATTTTTTATTTTTTCTGTTCCCACGTGGGGACAAAGCAGGGTGACGGTTGGGGATCCAAATTCACATACACGAAGGACAGAATAAGAATGCGTATTCTCTAAAATCTTTTTCTCATGCTTTATAGTTTTTTCTTCTACAAAATCCTATAAAAAGTTGTTTATTCCTTCCTAAACTTCTAAGATATTTAATTTTACTTAAAAGAAAAACCTCCTACTATAAGCTTCATTTACGGTCACATTGTTACTTATATATTTTTTCTTCTAAAAAAAAATAAAAAAAAATATTTTTTTTTGTTTTCAGCTCTCCAGCCATACGCATGGGTACTTTGGTCGAGTGGATTGATAGTTCTAGTATTATTATGGACAATATACGCCGTAACATTAAGATCGGCTCTCAAGAAACGGCGCGATTCCGCAACAAACCTCGCGACTGTTTTGTCAGTTTACCCTGTAAGTATTCATTTATAAATGCTAAGATTAAACGCACTCCTTTGACTAAACTATCGCACAACTGGTTTTCTCGCTTTCATTACTATGAGCTTATATGGAGGTGCGCACATTACACGATTTTTATGTGCAACTAAACAGTTGAATTGGCTGCGAAACAATCGCAATTGTGCGATATTTTAGTCAAAGTTGTGCCCGCTCTAACTATTAACTTTTGATAATTAAGTACAACTATACTATCCTTATAGTCTAAGCGGGGTCAGAATCAGATTTGGATTTTCAAATCGGTCTATCGTTTGTTTTTTGAATATTAATCCTTGGCCATTCCGTCTCATCTATACACTGCACGCAATTCTAAATGGGAATATTAATTAACACTCATTGCCTTCAATTAATAGTGACTAAGCAACACTTTGGTACTGTATCAAAATAGTGACGTGCAGGAGAACAATAATCATAATAATATTTGACGATAACAACCTGTGTTGCCTATTTTATTAATTGATAATTTAGAATTTAGAGCCTGTCCTACCAAATTGTAAATTGTCTTATAACAATCCAACTTGTAAAATATGTGATGGAAATATAGGATTTTATTGTTTTATCTGATGGTCATTTTTGAGCTATCTGTAACTCTATCAGCCATTAGTGGGAAAGGCCCTTAATATTGTTTTTACTTCATTTATAATTTTATACAGCAATTAAGAAATGCATCTTTAGGCCCTTAAGAGTTGAGCTAGTCTGCTTAATTTATTAGAAACTAGCTTTTGCCCGCGACTTTGTCCGCGAGGAATTAAAAAAAAAACAAAAGAGGGTCTATGTGTTCTTCCATGTTATCCTCTACATCTATGCCAAATTTCATCGAGATCCGTTCAGCCGTTTAGGCTACAAAGTCTAACATCCATCCATCTAAACTTTCGCATTTTTAACATTAGTATGAAGTAAGATTATGCGGAGATTTTAGTTGCCTGTATTTTTGACCGACTTCCCAAAAGAAGGAGGTATTCAATTCGTCGGTATATTTATTTTTTTTTTTTTTTTTTTTTTTTTTT